AAGCGGTGTTTCAGTATTTAAAAGTATGAAGTTATTAAGTTTTAAATCAATAATAAGTTGTTCAATTGTATTAAAGTTATTAAATAATATAACGAAAAGTTCAAATGTTTTTGAGAATATATTTGTTGATTTACATTCATTTTCTTTTCGAAAAAACAAAAGAAATAGATCAAAAACTTGGGGATTAGAAAAACTGTAAAATAATGTACAAAAAATATTTCAAATCTTGATTGGTATTAGATTTTGATTCAGTATATTTTGAAATTACTTTAATAGTTGAATTTGATACATGGAAGCTTGTATATCCTATGATCTATCATGAAATATGAAATGTTAATGAAAAACAAGTGTTTTGCTATCCATAGTTTTGCATTTTGAAAAATTGGTGTGTTAACTTCTTTTTAATTTCTACTAATTGTTTCAAATCTACTTTAACGAATGCCGTGTGCATATGCGGCCTCCAGCCGGTATAGTCTAGCTGCGCCTGGCCACTATGTTGGGAGTCTTGATGCCCTGAACAGCGGCAAGTGTCACGAAACACGACCCCAGCCGGAGCGAAAATGTGGCCACCGGCCGTGGTCCGCCCATTGACCAAGGGTGTCTAGCTCCATGCTTCCGAGCTGAGCGGGGCTTTGCCTGAGTGCCAACGGACGACAAATAAATTGCAAGGGGGGTGGCAAGGTTTTTTGCACTGCCGCTGTGTTCTGCCCTCACGGCACCTATTGCAATGGGCACCTTTACCACGTCAGCGGCACGCAGGTCTTATGCTGTCAAAGTGAGCGGTCTCGCAGTAGCCGATTCGCCACCAAGACCAGACATGCAAAGAAGCAACAAACCACACCGAAAGCCACAAGCCGACCAGACCAGGGACACAAATTTAAACATGAAGGGAAACGCAGATCCGACGCACGAGAGCATCAATAGGCAGGTAAGTGCACCTCCGCACCTCCGCAGGGGTTACCTCACCTCCGCGGGGTTACCTCACTTCCAGCCAGCGTCCGCCCCTTTGTAGCGCACGCAGACCTTACCTGAGCACTTGGCTTAACACGCATGGGTGGATCATCAATTTTATAGAAACTGGCGAGACGTCATGTGGAGGTGCGCGTGTTTGCAGTCTAGTTCAGTTTAGTTTTGGCACTTTGCGCTTGGTGTTGAACTGTTGTTCGTTTCCTTTGGTTGCTCCTAGCTGCTGCAAGGCTGCAGGCAAGCAGCGTGAATTTATGGACCGGGCTTACAGTAGTATCGACTTTGCGATAATCCAGGAGTTGAGGAGCTAGCGAGAGAGGAACAAGGTCATGAGGCGGCGGCGATTGGAAGCTTGCAGAACGCTAAGATTCCAAGCCTTTGCAGCTGAGTGGCGGTCCAGAAGCAGCCTTTAAACCCAGTGTTTTTTTTTCAGGGATCCCTAGACACATCGCAGACTGCAGGCTGCTCAGCAAGCCTCGCACAGGTTTTTGTTTCAAGATTCGCAAACCAACTGCAGCCGCTGCTCGTTTTTGCCGATTCTGCTTTCAGAACTGTTGCCAGATACATGAAACAAGTCAAGAAAAGGAAGGCCAGAAATTGCAAATGGATGTGAATTGAAGCAGGGCACTCTCACTCGAATGAGACGGGTTGAGACAATGCTATGCGTCGTCTCCATTGGTCTGATTTTCCAGTGATGGGCCGGAGCCTCAAAGGGCGATTCCACAGTGTTGCACTGTGCTTGTAATCGTTACTGCAGCCTCCAAGTCAGGCGATTCTGTGACTTCATGATGGCCTTTGCAAGCTTCAGCCTCAGAATGGCACAATGCAAGGTGCATGGTTGTTTGCAGAGCAATCGGATACAACAGCACCAGTCCTGAAGCATGAACCAGGGCAACAAACAACGAGTCAAAGCCAAGCGTACGCACTTCCTGGCACGCAACCTGTCGCAAAGTCATGCCAGTCACAGTGGAAGAAGGTGAGGGGCTCTGGGATGCCAACGCTGTCAGCTGAATGGCGGCAAAGGCGCCTCCACTGGGAAAGTTTGCTGCGCCTTGATGGTGTCGTCGTTGGGGAGGTACGGGCCATCTTGCTGTGTGGGCCGGTCGTTATGTGAATCGCTGTATTGCTGTCAGGTTTCATGGGCCTTGTGCAGTAAAGCTCTGGCAGGTGCTGGGCCACAGTGGCAATGTTTTCTGCTAAGCTGTATCGCGAGGAAGCTGATTCTTGCGTGACCGTCAGAGGTTGAGGCTTTTTGGGCTTAAGGGTTTTCTGAAGAGGGAGGTTTTGGGGACCCAGGCATGAGAGTCAATCCGACGCCTGAGCGGCACCTGCACCCTGCGGCCGCGACAGGCTCGAAGCCGAACCGTCCATGTTTCGGAAACTAGGGTTTAGGGGTTTAGGGTTTAAGGGTTTAGGGTTTAGGGTTTAGGGTTTAGGGTTTAGGGTAATACTGACTGTCTCAGCCATGCTGGCTTTATGCCTGTCGGCACTCCTTGCCGTCTCTCTGGCATCTCAAGAGGAGCCTGAAACAGCAATGCAAATGCAATTGCTTCAGCACCACTCGGTGCTCTCAGGCGCGGAGGAACGACGCTTGAAAGAAGCTCGGCCGCTGGAGTGGATTCACTTCCCGAAGGCCGGCAGCTCCTTCATCAACGTCATTACCCACCTGCCCGGCACCTGCCCATCTCTTGCCAATTACCTCAGCCCGGACACGGTCAGTGGCGGCACCTGCTGGCTGTCCCACTGGTTTCAAAACGATTGCACGCGTGTGTGCAATGGGAGCAGATACTCATGCCCTCGGGGGGGCTGCCCACACCTCCCGGTGACCAACTACTCTGCCCAGCGGGGCCACATGGTGGGAATGTTCCGCGATCCGGATCAGCGTATCATTTCGGGCTACCATGATGATGGGAACAACTTTGCTTCCTTCACAGAGCAGAACTTCGGGATTCTCAGAAAAGTTTCAAAATGCAAGGGAGATCTTCTGAGAGGAGCACCGAAGAGACCGCTCCTCGAGTTCGCCGAGAGGTGGAAGGGCGGAATGACGTACCAGCTCGTTCCCACAGACCCAGCCATTCTAGCAGTGGATCCGATGCGGCCAGCAGTGACGAGAGCGGACGGCTTGGAGGCCGCGCGGAGGGTGCGGGAGGGCTTCGCCTTCGTGGGGATCGCGGAAGACTGGGATTTGTCCATCTGCCTCTTTCACAAGATGTTCGGAGGAGCATGTCGTGCCGAGGAGTTCCAAGACACAAGGCCCGGCTTTGCAGGGAAGAGCGCGGACCAAGATTACAACATCTCCAAGCTTCAGGGCTGGCATGATGATATTGATGAAGTGGTGTATACCGCCGCTTTGGACGTTTTTCGCCGAAACCTCATCATGTTCGACGTCTCGCAAGAGACCTGTCAGGAGTGTTACAGTGCAGCTACAGTCACACACGGAGAGACTTAGCCACTCGGACAAGCGCGCGAAGAGACAGTCCAGTCTAGGAAGGGTGGCAGGTCCCCGCAGCCAGCCGTGCACAGCTGGGGGGCTTGCGCAGACAGCCTTGAGATGAAGGCGCTTTAGTTTTCCGCTGTGCTAAGCGTGCTATACTCATGCGCTGCGCTCAGGGCAAACGGTCGAAGTCCTCCCTGTTTGTGACCCGCAAGCCCCCGACCTCGCCCCTGACCATCCTTGACCTCCATCGAAGGCTAAAGGCAGCACCAGAGGCCAATGGCAGAAACGATCAGAAACGCTAGGGGCTTCGGGCCTGAGGTTCAGAGTCGATTAGAGTTTGCTGATCACGGAAATGCGTTCACGCTGGGATTCTGGCATTTTTGTAAGTTCGTACACACTTGTGCCGTGGCAGGAACATTCCGAGTTTCACGGGGAAGAGCACTCGATTGCCGAGTGGATGCGGCAGAGCAGGCGTTGGCGGCGTTTGCGGGGCGTGCTTCAGGATGTGTTCCGTAGGTATGAGCACTTGCAGACTCACAGCCCTGTGCCGCAGCTTCGAAGCCGAACCGTTTTCACACGTGGAGATGCCACGTGTGCCATGCACACCTCCATGGTTTGGGGCTGTGTCCTCAAGCTGTTGGTGCTGACGGCCTTGGCAGTCCCTGCCCAAAACTGCACGGACGATGCGGAAAGAGCCTCAGCTGAGCCAGCTCAAGGTTTCCAGGTTCGCGAAGAGCCCCGCGGATCCTGACACAGGCAACTGGATTTTTCACACGTCACTGCCATTTTTGCGATAGTTTCAGCTATCAGGTGAACGCTGTGCGGAGGTTGCTTTCCTCCAGCCCCTGTGCTGCACGTATGGCGCAAGTGAAGGGCTTGGGATACGCCCAACTCAGCTCAGTCCAGTATGGTGGCCGTGAACCCGTCACGCGGAAAGCCTGCAAGAAAGCTGAGAATCATGGCTCGGACAGTGTGCCCTAGATACTTCGGCAAGCGCTCCAAGGTCTGCCAGATCTCTCTTCCGCAACCCCGAAGTGGCCACACCGAAGCAGTTAATCGCCCATGTCACACGCCTGTTCCCTCGCCAAACACCGTCCGATCTCAGGCTCACCTCCAGAGCTTCAGGACTATGTTGTCGTCAAGCCACAAGAAGCTGCAGCTGAAGTGGCAACTACTTCGAAGTTTTCCTCCAGTGGAGCTTCAAGCGAACCCTGCCTGCAGCAACATCGGGGGGAGGTTTCCAACCATGGTGTCACGCGCCCTTGCTGCACGAATTGTTTCAGAGACTCGGAGCAGCGCCCCTGAATTCGTTCGTGTCGCGACCTGATGGTGTAGCAGCTCAGGCAACCAGTCTTTGCTGGATGAGTACGCCAAGTATGCCTGCGGAGATGGCAGGGACTACTTTCTGACGGACCCAACCCGAAGCCTGCACGCCGAACTGGCACCCCTGGAGGCTGGATGCATCAACATGCCACTTGGACTCGATCTTGCAAAGGGCCTTTGCTTTTCCCTTTCGCCTGGGCTTTCGCTTTTTTTTGCGCCTGTTTGAGGGTTTAGGTCTTAGTGTCAAGTCTGGGCCTTGCAAGGCTTTTTGCGGGCTGAGGCATCACCGGTGGGCGACGGTCAAGATGACCTTCGCATCGAATGCTAGCCATGGCGAGTACCTGTACAGGCCAAGGGAATGTGAGCCTAGGGTTCGGGCCTTGGCGGCTTTGAAGTCGCGCCTGACTTAACATCGGGTTAAAGGTTCACGAAGCGGCGAAGCGGTGTATTCATGATCCACCTGGCACCCCTGCGCAGCCCCCTAAACCCTAAACCCTAAACCCTAAACCCTAAACCCTAAACCCTAAACCCTAAACCCTAAACCCGAAACCCTAAACCCTGGTCAGGGACTGCCCGGAGAGCTGTTTGGAGGAGGAGTTCTGGCACAAGCTGCCCACGCAAGTCGTAGACCACGACCTGCTCCCCGGCTTTGTGGAATTTGTTGGGTTCTGGTCTCTTTTTCCATTGCCTTGGTCGATTATACCATATACACAAGTATATGTATATGTATATATATACACAGCGATAGTGTATAAACCCCTGTATTACACTGTGTTATGCTGCGTGTTATGTGTCATCATATGTGGTTATACATTGTGCCCTGGTAGTTCTGTTGTGTGGCGCTGTGTTGTAGAACGACTTGGAATCATGATGTAGCAGCAAAATGTATGACATAGTTGCTCATATTGTGCGCTCGTGTATTCCATTACGCAATTACACATCATGACACTGTCGGCTCAACCTACACTGTGAGCTGTACCCTTGGCGCCACGACCAGAAACCTAAACCTCACACCAGACGAAGCCCTAAGCCTGAGTTTATGCTTGCCCATTCCTTGCTGAAGGCTGGTGCTCCCAAGCATGCGCGAGCCACCGGGGCCCCGCTGCTTCAGTTCAGGGTTGAGGGGCTGGGGCTTCTGGCCTTTTAGGGCTTAGGCATGTTCAAGCACAGCTGTTTTGGGTTCAGGGAGGTTCCGAGGGTCAGCTCCAGTAGCGCATGCGTCTTGCATAAATCGCATTGCATCCAACAGGCCAAAGTTGTCAAAAGCCCTGAATGCTTGAGCCCTGTCTATTTGGGTAGGTGGGGCACGATGAAAGATGCGGATGTAGGGCATTGTGCCTTTGAAAGAACACCCAAAGCCTAAGAGTGAGGATGGAGTACCAGCACGCACTCCTCGACTTCCTGCCGCCGGCCTGGACAGTGCTTGACCTGCTTCGGAACTCCTCCACGAGCCTATATTTGAAAGCTGAAGGGTTTAGGGTTTAGGGTTTAGGGTTCACGGTGGTTTGGGGGGCCTTTTCCTTTTTGCTCTCCCACAGCCGAAGTAAAGGTTGGAACTCCCACTAACAGCTTGAACTTTCGGTTCAGTGTTAAAGGTGCTTCATCCCTCTGTTGTAGAGTGTTGTAGAGTCTCACAATCAGAAGTGTTTTGTTTCTCTGGTTTTGCTTCTTTCTTAGGAAGTTGGTGGTCTTCTCGCCGTTTCAGCGGCGTCTGCTGGCCACCCTCGGCTTTCCCAGCGAGCCCCGGCCAGCCCCCAACGGAGAGACAGCCCCTTGAGAGAGCTGAGCTGCTTAAAAGGATGCTGAGGCTTTTTTTTGCTTTCTTGATTTTGTTATTTCTTTCTTTCTTTGGTTCTTTCTTTCTTTCTTTCTCTCTCTTTCTCGCAGCGGCTTTTGGGCACCTTTCAGGAACAGGTCCTGGAAGTTCCCCTCACGGACGACCGACCCGCACTCCTGCTATGCGCGCAGAGGGGCCGGACAATGCATCTCTGGCGCGTCGGCGGCTCGCGCAGCTCGGGGAGCTCGGGAGCGCTCCCGAGCCATCCCTACCAGGACGGTAGCTCATCTTAACCTTTGAATTTGGGGGGCCCTTTTGGGTTTTTGGGATGTTCTGTTCATAGGTCTTTCGTAACACGTAGGAATTCCTTTGATGGGCTTACCGCTTAGGGCTCTGTCGACTCCCATTTTCCTCAAACTGGCAGCCCTGGGTGTTCTTGTTTTTGGCCTTTCCCAGCCCTGAAAAGAAGAAGCCTCGACGCCTCGAAGCCTGCACCCCCAGCCCAGCCCTCCTCCTGATGTTTGATCCCCAACGCCGGAGCCCTTAGGCTACACACGTCCATCCTGACACCCTAAACATAAGACTCGACAAGATTAATCCCCTAAACCCTACACGCGAAACCCTAAACCCGAAACCCTAAACCTGAACCCTAAACCCTAAACCCTAAACCCTAAAATCCCTAGACCGGAAACAACTGATTCACCCTGGGCATCCTGATCGAATCCCAAGCCTAAGTTACAAGGCCGGTTCGATGGAGACCTCTGGCACCGGCTCATCGACTTCCAGGCTCAGGGTTTTAGGGTTTTAGGGTTTGGGGTTTAGGGTTTAGGGTTTAGGGTTTAGGGTTTAGGGTTTAGGGTTTAGGGTGACCTATGTGTCGTTCTCACATAGAGCTGCGGGGTTCTGATCCCAAGACCTGCACAGACCACCGGATCCAAGACCCTCTAGCCCAAACCCTGACCGTGAAAGACGAGAGTCCCGAACACCCAGAGACTCCAATACCCCTTAATTAAGGAATATTCCTTAAATCATAGTAGTAGGGTTCCTTATATGGTTTATATAAGGAATATTCCTTAATGAAGGGGTATTGGAGTCTCTGAACACCCTGTGGGTTCTGTGCCATTTGTGCCCTGCACCTTTTCAAGGAGGGCAGGCTCTGGGCCCCTTCCCAGGTGGGACCAGAAATCTCCGATGCCATCGCGCAGTACAATGGCTTCGCGGCATCTGGTCTGAACGGCCACATGGATAATCTCCTATAAACGGTTTACACAGAATTTATCCACATAGCAAAAGAATGAGATGGGAAGAGAACTTGAGTCCTTCCGTCACCCCATGCTGTGCCCCAAGCGAATTTGGATTACTGCGTGTCGCGGAGAACGACAGCTCGACGCCGGGCCAAGGGCCTTTCAGGTGAGAGCTTCTTGTAGGGCGTGTTGACGGTTGACCTTTCTTAAGAAACCTGACTGTCCGGCTGGCACGGTTAGGCTGGCCTACTTCTTGGTGCAAGGGGGGCTGGCTTAAAGCAGCCAGGGCCGAGTTGAGCTCCAAACGCCTCATGAGACTGGAATGGCAAGAGACGGAAAGATGCCAGAAGAGGCCGCAACCACGAGGGGAGATCTCAACTCCTTCAACATCATAGATGATACCAGCCTCGACCCCAAGTAGCAAGACTGCCCAAACTGTAATACGCAGATATGATTGTACAAACTGAAGCCTGAAGCCGCCGAATTTGGTACACAACTCAGAGCTGCGGGCTGGCGGAGTTAGGTGGGAGATCGGAAATCGGAAGGGCTAGAACCGCGGCTTGAAAACCGATAAAGCCGAAGGCCGAAAACCCAAAGCCGCTTTGCCAAAGCAGCCTTGCCAAAACTTCTTAGCCAATGCCGCTTTGTAAGAGCTGCTATGCAAATGCGAATTGGCATTTGGGCAGGACTAGTTCTTAAAAAGTATTCCCATAGATTCATAGATGTTGGTCGGGGCGCCAACAACTGCGCTGGCGGACCTTAGAACACTACCTTGAAACCTCAAACTCTAAACCCTAGGGTGCCTGCTCTTACAAGTGGAGTTCCTGAAAGGCATGTCACATTTCCGTCTCACTTTCCTTTTGCTTGTTTTCACGTGGGATAGAACTACGGCTCCTATTTTTACGAATGGAGTTTCTGAAGACCCTGTTTTGTTTCCCTCTTGCTTTCGTTCTACGTTTTCCCACGCGGGGTAAAGCTAGGGTTCTTGTTCTTTGAAGTGTAGTTGTGCCGAAACCATTTTATCCGTGTGACTTTCTTCTGCCTTATTCCGCCTGGGATAGGATCAGGGTTCCCGGTCTTACAAGTGAAGTTCCTGTTTGCTTCTGGGCCGGCGCCTTTGCCCCTCCAGATGATTAGGGTGACCGGGCCGGTCAATCGAAGGGCAAAAGCAGGGTTTCCTGCTTTGCGGAAAGGGCCTGCTGGTTGTCGTTGTGGGTTGGTCCGATTACTGTTGCGCCTTACCCTGGTTTCGGTCACCAGTTTCACGTACAGCCCATCCCGAATCCCGTTACAACACCCTTTACGTCTTGCCTTCGTCTTACTTTTTACCACATAAGATGGAACCAGGGATCCTATTCTTGCAAGTGGAGTTCCTGAAAACCGTGTCGTATTTCCGTCTGACTTTCGTTTAATTGCTTACCACATGGGATCGAATTAGGCCGCTTGTTCTTACACATGGGTTTTCCTGAAACCCGTGTCGTATTTGCGTCTTACTTCCGTCGTATTTTGCTTTTTACACCACATGGAAAAGAACTAGGGCTCTGTTCTTACAAGGGGAGTCCCTGAAAACCATATCTTATTTCTGTTCTGCTTTCGTCTTATTTCCAAGGCGGCAGAACTAAGTATCTAGGGCGGTTCCTGATGTCTTGTTTCCGTCTTACTTTTTGCGACATGGGATAGAACCATGGCTCCTGTTCTTACAGTGTAGTTTCTGAAAACCATGTTTCGTGTTTGTTTTTCGTCTCCCGGTGAAAAACATGATTAGATACAGTATTATGTATTACCCACCTACACACACACACACTACCTCAAATTAGAGAGAGAGCACACGAGTCTCTCCTCTACTCTCCTCACCTCTCCTCCTTCGGGACGAGGGAGCCGTAGCTGAGGAGAGAAGTTTTTGGGAGCCGCGGCTGGTGGTGTTTTTGCAGCGTTGCACCGACCACCGGGCCCTGGAGAACGAGCAGAGGGCCCTTGAGGCAATCAGCCGGGCCCCTCGGCTCGGATGGAGAGCTGCTCTCCCTCTCCCTCTCTCTCTCTCTTATTTTTTTCTCTTTCTCTCTGTCTCTCTCAAAGGGGGTGGGGATGGTTTGGGTCAGGAGGAGGGAAGAGGGAAGGGACGGAAACGCGAGCGATGCTTTCGAGGCCTTGTTGAAGTCAAATCGGACAGAGGAGCTGCTCTCAATTTGCACAGGCGGGCGGGGCGCCAAATTTGCAAGGGAAAGTAGAGAAAAGTAGAGAAAAGTAGAGAAGAGTAGAGAAAAGTAGAGAAAAGTAGAGAAACGTAGAGAAGAGTAGAGAAAGCAGAGAAAAGTAGAGAACAGTAGTGATAAGTAGACAAAAGAAGCAGAGAGCGGAGCAACATGGAGCCACACAATGTCCTGACGAGTCCTCTGTTTCTGAGAGGCCGTGAGGACTTCTTGGAGCAGGTCCAGAAGGCCAGCTCCCAAAACGAGGAGCCGTGTCTTTGCACGTATACTTCTAAATCGACTTTCGCAGAGAAAGAAGAAGGAGGGGCGGCGGAGCTCTTGTAGTTACCTTCATCCTCGCTCTCTTCTCTCGCAGCTGTTGCAGGTCCGACAGGCGCGGCTCATCATCGGCGAACATGGAGGGGCGATGGCCAACACGGTCCTAGCGCGCTCCGATACAGGCAGAATCACGAGTCCAAGATGATGAATTTGATGATGATGATGAAGGAAAAAAGATGTGAGAGAAGTCTATCATATGTAGGAGGAGGAGTCATTGTTCAGATCATCTCTGAGGTCTTGGATAGGTCTTTGGGCTCACTCGAGGCAGATGGCTGCACAGGAACTCGAAAGGTCGCGCACGCGCAAGCACATGGGAGCGATTGGATGCCTGTAAATCAAGGCGGGTTTATCCTTTTGTCCAGCGTTGTTGCCTGGAGGTGTTATCGAGCTTGTTGCCGATGCCGCAGCCCAGAAGGGCATGGAAGGAGCCAAGACGTTATTCGCTTCAGGGTTCAGGGAGGATCAGGGAGGTTCAGGGAGGTTCAGGGTGGTTCAGGGAGGTTCAGGGTGGTTCAGGAGGTTCAGGGAGGTTCAGGGAGGTTCAGGGAGGTTCAGCGTGGTTCAGGGAGGTTCAGGGTCAAGGGCCTTATCAAGATGCGGCGAGTGGGACTTTAGGCAGAGGTGCTTGGGAGATCACGGCAGGACCGTGGCCACCTTACAAAAGATCCTTGACTGCACCCTTTGTTTGCGGCCTTGCCGCCTGGGCAGCCGGATTTTAAGCAGCGCCTGTACCTAGCAACTGGATTTGAGCCTGAGGATGCTTGAGGACAGATGGATACCGAGGGTTGGTGTGGAGTCTGGCTTGCAGCCTCCGAGGTTACTTCTACGGCGGACTTGGGGCAGCCTTCCCCTTCTACCGAGTGTCTTGGCACATTGGGAGCCTAAAACTGCCCTAAATCTTGAATTAGAAGAGAGTCCTTTGATAAGCTGTAAAACAGAGGAGAGCTCACTTTTGCCCCTTTGCATGAACAAGAGTTGCGGGCTTCATGGACTTCTTGGATGTCCCCCTCAGGGGAGAGGGGTCAAAAACCAAAATCGAAATGGATCAATCAAAAAACTCAAATGGATCAATAAAAGTTTGAAAAGGATCAGAAAAAAGGACCCTGGGAGGTAGGGGGAGGGGAGATGGGGGGGGGTGGGATGGAAGGAGGAAGGGTTTCTAGATGTTTCTAGATATGTCTAAACTTTTATATAAGTTTCTACAACATGCCCGGCCACTTTTCTTTTGGATCCTATTGGACTTTCTGGCATTCCCTACACTACAGCATCCTCAATCTTTTTTGATCCACTTCATTTTTTTCGTGATTCCTGGAGGTCAGTTTTGCTTTTGATCCATTTCAACTTTTTTTTCATCCTTCACCCTCAGGTGGTCCTCTATGAAGCCGACCCGCGCGGCAAGCTCTGGGTTCGTTTGGACGACCTGCAGACAGCCGTCACCGACTTCCTGAACCGACTCGGCTAGTGGCTGGATGCGGCTTAGCCTGAGGGGCTTTTGGTTAATCCCTCCAGCTCCTTCCTTGACCATGTGATCAGTCGAGTTAGTCCGAGACACGGCAAAGTGGAAGGATGCCCAAGCAGTTCAGGAGAGTAACAAAAGCGAGAGCAAAAGACGCGAGAGAAAGATGCGAGAGACTGTTTCTGTATGCTTCAATGAAACAGGGAACTGATTGACAGAGATAGGGCCAACACTAGCCAGCACAGCACGAGATCATCGAGAGTCCCCCCCGAGGGGCCGCGGCGGCCACCTGACCTGGAGCCCAAGTGTCTCCATGTCATGCGGAGGCATGCCAGGGACCATGCACCTCACATGTCTCGACCCCTTCCCCCCCTCTCCACCCCGTAATGATACCATGTTTCAACCAGCCCGATGTTTTTTCAACGGCTTCCAAAGCTGCGCAAAACGCCAAAAGCACCTCCCCAAATCCCCTTAGCAAACCCCAGAACACGATCCCAAACCAGCGCCACTCCTCAAGAGCCACAGCGAATCCCAAAACATGATCCCAAAACAGAGCCACCCCCAGCTAATCCATTCGACTGTAACGATTTTTTCTGGTGTGAACCAGCAGGCTGGTAGAGGCTAACAGTGGAGCAGACGCTTCTTCCTGAGCAAGATCTACGAACACAGCACATCGGTTTGAACAATCCAAAATTCGCAGAGACTTGAATTTGATGAAGGATGAAGTTGTGAACGGATGAATGGACATACCTTTCCATTGAAAATGAAGCGATGGCCCGACCACGGTTGATGTAAGGAGCGGACGAAGGCTTGTTGAACTTGTGGATGCGAGGAAAATCGATTGACATGATGAGACGAGGAAAACGGGAAGAAGCGAGCATACATCATACAATTACAGTATGTATGTAAAAAACAGATATGTTGCTCTATGCACTGGGTGTCCTCAGTTGCCAAGTTGAAGGTTCGGGGATGATTCAGACCTCATTAGGGGCCGGTTCAGGGTGCGTGGCTTTGGCTTGGCATCGTGTTATGGGGCTTGTTGAGAGTTGGGGGGTGCGCTTTGAGTGTTTTGTGTGGGCTTTGGAGGCCGTTGATAGAAATAGATTCGGTGGGGAGGGTTTTGGGAAGGTCTGGGGAGGTGTATGGGATCGCTTGTTTGCTTAGGTTTGATTGCTTTGTGGTGTGCCCCTGGCCGGACTGAGTGCGTAGGCGTGACTTAGTTCATAACGATGGGTTTTCTCAATTCCAGTGGCTTGCACGAGGCTGGTCTTGTCCATGCGGTACCGCTCAGCGTGACGCTATTTCTTTTTTGTTTGATTTTGCGAAATGTACTTACATGCGTTTAAATGTCCAAAAAAAGCTTCATTCACGACACGAAGGTGGAGGACATGCTGAGACGAACTGGCGAACTGGCCTGGCCATGCCATGATTCGGTGATTGAGCGAAGAAGGGCTTCGACCATCCGCAGCCGAAAAAAATGCGAAACACATTGCAAAGCTTGTGTGCTGGAGGTGATGTCCGGGCGTGCCAGTTGCATGGCTTTGCTGCGACTGTTGTTGTGACCACTTGGCTGTAAACCCCATCGATCCGGAGGTGCCAGAGGGAGGCCACGGAGGTGCCGCAGGCCGGGCTCCATGGTAGGGGTCACTGGAGCAGCTGCACGGAAGCTACAACATTCTCCGACCCTGTGTGTGTGTTCCTTGACGCGTGCTCATACCCCAAGTGGGCTGTTTTGGCAGTTCGGACAGATGGGTATGGGAGATGCTCAGATCAGGGAGCCGTAAGGTTTCTTTCTGCCCGCAAGGTCTTTCTGTTGAAGGTTTTGGGCGTGGATGTCGAAGGGGTTGAGTTTTTGGGGTTGGGGATTTAGGTTTAATGTTAACCTCTGATTACAAACCCGCACCCCCCCCCCCCAAAAAGAAGAAGTGATTTTCTGGAGAAGGTTTTGGCGCCCCTCGGAATAGTGGGGTAGGGGCTCTTGGTTTCGACGGATCATGGTTCAAGGATCCAAGGAAGCAAGAGTCGGATCACGGGATCTGGAATCTCTGAAATAGGTTTCAGTATTTTTAATTGGTCAATAGGTTCTCAGGAAGTTTTCAATAGGTTTTCGATAGGTTTTCGATCGGTTTTCGCGATAAAACAATGAAAAAACAATCGAAACCCTATTGAAAACCCATTTGAGAACCTACCGAAAACCTATCGGAAACCTATCGAGAACCGATCGAAACCCTTTTGAAAACCGATTGAATACCATTGAAAACCTATTGAAAACCTATTGAAAACCTATTGAAAACCTATTGAAAACCCTATTGGAAACCTCTTGAAAACATATTGAAAACCTAGGTAGAACTTATCGGAAGCGTAGCGAAGATCTATTGAAAACCTTGAAGACCTATGACAACCGATCGAAAACCCAATTGAAAACCTATTGAACACCGATTGAGAACCTATCGAAAACCTATCGCAAACATACCGAAAGCATACGGAAAACCTATCAAAACCCTCTCGAAAGCCAATGGAAACCTATTAGGAACTTACTGAAACCTATTGAAAACCTATTGAACCCTATTGAAAACCTATTGAACCCGATTGACAACCTATTGAAAACCTATAGAAAACCTATTGAAAACTTATTGAAAACATATTGGAAACTGGTTGGAAACCTAGTGAAAACCTACTCAATCGAGCCGATCGAAAAACCTGTCGAAAACCAATCGGAACCGCATTGAAAACCTATTGAGAACCAATCGAAAACCAATCGAAAACCAGTTGAAAACCAATCGAAACCTATTGAAAACTTGTTGAAAGCCTCTGGAGCACTTGTTGAAAACCTGTTGAAAGCCTATCTAACACCCACTGAGAACGGATCGAAAACCTATTGAAACCTGTTGAAGGAAGACCTATTGAAAAACTATTGAAAACCTCTCGAAAACATAAGACATATCGGAAGTCAGAGATTCCAGATTCCGTGATCCGATTCTTGGATGCTTGGATCCTCGAACCCAGGATCCGAAATTCGAGAATCCAGGCCATTCGGAAACAGAGGGTTTCTTGTTGAATCTCTTACTGAGGGGTGAAATTTTAAGCGATTTCTAGGGGTACCCCTTTTCCAGGGCCATTGGAGCGTTTATTAGTTAGATCAGGGGGGGTTTTCGGGACGGTGCCGGGTTGATTAGGGGGGGGGAAATATGAATCAGAGGTTCACGTTAGGGTTTATCATTGAAGAGGCGAGGTTTGGGGGACCCAGGCATGAGAGTCAATCCGACGCCTGACCGGCACCTGCGTCCTGCGGCCGCGACAAGCTCGAAGCCGAACCGTCCATGTACAGGTGACTGTCTACTAGGTACTACTGACTGCCTCAGCCATGCTGGCTTTATGCCTGTCGGCACTCCTTGCCGTCTCTCTGGCATCGCAAGAGGAGCCCGAAACAGAAATGCAAATGCAATTGCTTCAGCACCACTTGGTGCTCCCAGGCGCGGCGGAACGAGCGGAACGACGCTTGAAAGAAGCTCGGCCGCTGGAGTGGATTCACTTCCCGAAGGCCGGCAGCTCCTTCATCAACGCCATCACACACCTGCCCGGCACCTGCGCTTCTCTGGCCGATCAGTACCTTAGCGAAGACACGGTGGGTGGCGGCCCCTGCTGGCTTTCCCGCTGGTTCATGGACCTTTGTGCGCCAAACGTCTTTTCCTTCCACTGCAACAAGTAACTGCCTTTATCAAAGAAGTCCCGGAGACCCAAGTCTTGTTAAACCCTGCACGCTTCCTATGCTGAGGAACAGAAATCCTTAAAGTCGTTGCAGCCATTGGCATGAACCCGTGGCCTAATTCTAAGAGCGACCTCAGGCCACCCAGCCCCAGCTCCCCTCGACCTTCAAGCTAATCAACCCGAATCAAATGAGTGTAAAGAGCTCAAATTCAGAAAGCCGACGGGACTCCTCCTTTCGCCCTTTCAGGAGCGCTGCCCGCACGACTGCAAGGCGGACCATTACGTGTGCCCCTGGTCAAAGTCGCCCGATGTCCCTCGGACCGCCTTGGTACACCTCCTGGTGACCAACTACTCTGCCCAGCGGGGCCACTTGGTGGGAATGTTCCGGGATCCGGATCAGCGAATCCTTTCGGGGTACCATGACGAGGCGAACAATTTTGCGGCCGAGGACTACGGCAGCTACTTAGTGCAAGCGGGAGGGGGGAACTGCACCGGATTCAGCGTGAGAGGCGTGCGGAGGAGGCCGCTTTTGGACTTCGCCGAAGCCTGGAAGGGCGGGATGACTTATCAGCTCGTTTCTGCTGATCTGATTGAGTCCGGTCAAATTCTTCGAAGGCACACCACGGCCGTGGATCCGAAGCGGGCCAAGGTGACACAGGCGGATGGATTGGAGGCCGCGAAAAGGGTGCAGGAGGGCTTCGCCTTCGTGGGGATCGCGGAAGACTGGGATTTGTCCATCTGCCTCTTTCACAAGATGTTCGGAGGAGCATGCCATGCCGACGAGTTCCAAGACACAAGGCCCGGCCGTGCAGGGAAGAGCGCAGACCAAGACTACGACATCTCCCAGCTTCAGGGCTGGCATGATGATATTGACGAAGTGGTGTATGCCGCCGCTTTGGACGTTTTTCGCCGAAACCTCATCATGTTCGACGTCTCGCAAGAGACCTGTCAGGAGTGTTACAGTGTAGCTAGCTACAGTCACACACGGAGAGACTAGCCACTCGGCCAAGAGTGCGGGGAGACAGTCCAGTAAGAGTGGCAAGTCCCCGCAGCTCGCCAGTCGTGCACAGCTGGGGAGCTTACGCAGATAGCGTTGAAATGCAGATAGCATTGAGATAAAAGCTGTGAAATTGTGTCCAGCCGCTGTGCTATGCTCATGCGCATGCCTGGTCACTCACATCGCATTGCTGAGTACATCGGCGCAGGCCTTGATCAGCACTCCGTAGACGACGGGGATTGGATCTTGACAATTAGATAGAGGTCGTTCCTTATGCTCACAAGAGCGGAGGTTGCGTCCTCAGCCCCGAATGTTCAGTTTGTTCCACAGGCAAAAATGTGAGCCTAGCCTGTTACCGGTAATTTTTGTTCCCTTCATTCCAGAGCGTCTCATCGCAGGCCAACATCCGACGCCTTGGAATGGCCAGTCTCCTTCCAGAGTTCCCTGCCTGCAAAGACGGAGGACAATAAGCAATCAGTTGCATTCGGATACTTATGAATTTTGTTTGCACAGGATTGTCAGAAACTTGAAAACGATCACATGTTGCTGCAGGCTGCAAGTGGAGGCTTCGAGCGAAAAGTCCTTTCAGCACATTAGCACTCGATGATTTGGCGCATTGACGTTCCTGGCGGCATGCAGATGGCATGCAGTTTGAGTTGCAAGGCGTTTGTTTCACAAGCTATTGAGCTTGTTCGCTTGCACCTGCCGAGAAAGACTTCCTGTCAACGCAGAAGCTTGGTTTGGAAGGGTCTTGGATCCGCAAGCAATCGCTGCAATGGCAGCTCTCCCTTTCCAGGCCGGAAGACCTGCAAGCGTCCACAGCGAGAAGCGCATCTTCACTGTTGGCAGTTGTGGTTAATGATGGCGTGCCGAGAGCTTGGACTGGCATGTGGACTGTGAGGAGGCAACGGGGAAGGCCCCGGAAGTACCAACGGATCAGGCGCATTTGTGGCATGGGCTTCTCCACAGGATCACGTCAACCTTTGCTATGCTTTCGGCCAAAATCTGCATCCAAAAAAGTCCGATAAGGGCCCTGCTTCTGCAACCCTTGCGGAAGTACATGTTTAGTTTTGTGTGCTTGTTTGACGGCCAAGCAAATGTTGTGGGTTGTGCATGGCCGCTTTGAAAGCTATTCACGGACAGGCGGCCCGAAGCATGAAGTGGCCTGAAAGTAGGTGTTTTTCTTACAAAGAAGCTCAAACTTTAGACACATGCTCAAAGTTCAAGCTGTTCAACAGGACAGGACCCATGATTTACACATCCCGATGTCCTGAATAAGTGCAGAGATATCTAATTTCCAGGCGCGCACAATCGTCAATACTATTTGGTCTGAGGCTGTATTCCCGAAGTTCATAGCTGTCAGGAAGGGCAGAAACTGTTCGGAAGTGGCCAACATTCCCAGCTTCTAAACGAAGACAAGATCCAAGCGCTTTGAGCCATGCGCTGACCAGTTGCCACACTGTTGGTCTGACGGAGGAGCTCTCCACTCATGGGCTGTGGCAAACCTTGGACATGGGCTGTTTTGCACCTGCAGGAATGGGGGATGAGGCCTCTTTGCAGAAGCTGGACACGTCCCAGTTGCAGGCACGTTGAGAGGCTTTGCAGCGACCGGAGTGCAGAAGCAAAAGGACGTGACACAGCTTGAAGCCGCCCACAGCAACACTGTCGGCTCGACCTGCAGACGATTGTCGATGCTTGACAGCCCAACTTTTTCCAGGAGTCCTTAGAAGTCATAGTTGGCTAGTGGTTTTGCCCCTGCGAAACAGACTCCACCAAGTTTGGGTGTCTTGGGGGTCTTCAAACATGCTGCCTATAAGCCCTAAGCCCTAAACCCTAAACCCCAAACCCTAAACCCTAAACCCTAAACCCCAAACCCTAAACCCTATATATCGCAGTAGTCTTCTTGTGCCCAGCATGGTTCAATGGACTTGGCCAAAGCTGCGGCCCAAATCCGTCCACTTCGAGGGTGGACTTGGCTTGTTTTGTGTTCTTGTGTATTTGCTCTTGTTGTCCACTTGCGAAGATGTAGCTGTGATTTGCCCAGGAGCATGCTTGAGGTTGTCATGTGCGTACTGGTCACTCTAGCCATCTTGCAAAGCAGCGGGTCATGTCAGGAACGATGCGGGCCCCCTCCTGCCGCGCGAGCTTGCCAAAGACTCAGCGGACGCATCAATTTTGTGAGCTGTCCCTTTTCGTGTGGGAAGTATCAATCGCCAGCTGCAAGCATGTCAGCCGAGGAACTCATTGCCATTTGCAACAGCCTTGTGCATGGACAAGTAGTGGCACGCCTCCCAAGAACGCAAGCAAGTCCGACAACATGGGCACACGTGCAGTGCAGTCGCACCCAAATTTTCAGGATGCGTTCCCTGGGGCGCAGCCAACCTCGTTGACAAGACAGAAGATCTTTGATCAGTTGCTAAAGGATCCGCCCGGCCATGAATAATCTGGAAGGCAGAGAGTGCGAAACCTGGAGGAGCCGTATGTGGTTTGCGAGAAGACTGATGGCGAGCGACATCTATTGCTTGCCTACGAAGGAATTTGTGCTTCTAGTCAAAGGCTAGAATGTTTCACAGCTTGCTTGCCCTTCCAACATGCATGTTTTTTTGCTGCGACCGCTGCCACAGGACATGTGTACCTCATTGATCGCAAGTGCCGTGTCTGGACGTGTCGCGCTCCAGCCTCAGCCTGAAAGGACTTGACTTGAAATCTGAGCATCCCATCAGGTCAACCTCAAGCCCAAAAACACCTATGTGTAGGTGCAGCTCCCGCTGGTTGCTGGGCATGATCTGTGTGGAACTTGGGCGTCTATCATGTGTTGAAGCATGTTCCTGAGGGATCAAGAGCGAAGCCAGCCATCGAGGAGGATCATGACCCAAGCGAGAAAGAAACCAGAGCAAGAGAGAGAAACTTTCACCTTGGAGACACGTTGCCTACTAAAGTGAGGGTTGCTGGACTTGAGCATTGAACTCTCTTTCCTCAGTTGCTTTGACTGCAGTATCTGGACCCCTGATATGGGCAGTGAGCACAAGCATGGAAGGTCACCAGGCTGGCACCACAACACCTTGTTGGATGGCGAGCTGGTGCTGGATGTTGAGGAGGCCCCTTCTTTTGCCCCATGAAGGTGGGATCTTGGCTTTCTCCCTTTTTGTGCCATTGCAGGACAAGACCAGCCTCCGGTACCTTGTGTACGATGCCATGTGCATGTGTGGCGAGGACTGACTTTGACTGAACCCTTTTTTTTAACAGTTCCCGGTTGAGCGCTGAGAGTGCTCCATGGAACCTGTGGCCATTGAAGTTTTGCACAAGATTTGGATTTTTTGAGTTTCCGATGGGGGAGGTTCTCCTTTGAGAGGGCGGTATGGAAATGGAATCAACGAGATGTCTTGTGTTGTTGTGACAGCCGTGGTTGTGATTTCCTGTTGGGCATCTGCCAGATGAGACCTGCGTCGGTGTGTTGTCTGGACATGTGTGAAACGTAGCGCAGACCCCTTAGAACAGACTCGGCAAGATACGCAAAGGGTCCTGTGAAAACGAATGCTGGCCTTGAAGCCGCCGTCATTTAATGTCGCTTCGCAGTCTGTGTGTACATAAGTGTAATTGGAAGGGGTGCAAATCCATCCACATGGGCAGGGATCATCGTGATACCAGGGCGGTTCAGCATGTTTAATGCTCTGTGGCTTATATTCTGCGGAAGACTCCGCCTGGCATCAGGACCTGACGCACCGGACGCTTCTCTACAGGCTACAGAAGGCCCTCTCCGACGTGATCCTTCCGAAGGACCATGCTCTTGTCAGTGATCGTTGAAGCTTGCCCTGAAGCTTTAGGAGCAACTGCTGGCTCTCCGCGAGTCCTCCGACAACGTGCAGCTCATGTTGAAGGCTTGCCCCGGCTGTGGACGTCGGGAGAAGTCAGCCTTGGGCTGCGGCTGCGTTAGAGTGGGGGATGCCGTACTCTAGTTGCTTCTAGCCTCCGCGCCTTGCCATTTTTGCCGATGAAGAGACCTGCGGGGCGTTTCAGCGAGGCACCGGGGAGGAAGCAACATTTGTGAGAAGGGTAGAAGGCTGCTGTTCTTCCTAGCCTTGAACCTAGCTGTCTCGCTTCTCGAGATCTCGCCATCACAGATAATTGCTGCTTGTCGTCAGAGTTGGCGCACCCCGAGTTGAAAAATCTAGAGCCGAACCCTGATTTCAAAGCTCACGGCTCTGGCTGGGGAGGTGTCGAGGCGTTTCCCCATATTCCCCTGACCTACTGCTGGCCACCACTGCCACGAACACCCACTTGCCAACTACCGTCTACTGCACCGCCTGCTGCAGTGCCTTCTGCACAGCCTACACAGGACTTCTTCGAGCTGTGGCAGCTTGGTGATGTGACCGCTATTGGCCAGCAACTCATCCGGACGAATCTCAGCGTCGAATTTTTCACCAAATTCTGAGCCGACTCTTAGCCGCGGAGCTGCCGCACGGGACGGACGGCCTGGTCTTCACGCCAGTGCCCTTCTGAGAATGATGGTCTGTTTATTCTGTTACCTGGAGGGTGCCCCTTCGGAAGTAGACGTGGGTCTTCTTTTGCTGTTTCTTGATTTTAGGAGCTTCCTGCAGGTCATGGTCCCCTACGCGCCTGGGACATGCCCGGCCTTGCTGAAGTGGAAGCCTGCCGAGATGAATACGGTGGATTTCAAGCTGCAGGCTCTTCTGGGCTCTCAAACATGTTTGACGCAGTTTGCCGGCTAACCTTTGGGGAGGTCATCCAGGGAGGAGACATGAAGAAGAACATCCATGCGTGAAGCCTACCATTGCTGGACTTCTCTTTGCTTCGGGCTTCGGTTCACTCTGAGAAAGCTGCAGACATGGCGAAGGTGAAGTTGCTAGTCGGCTTCAAGGGCAAGGAGACATGGCAGGTGGTTTGACTAAGCATGTTCCGTCACATGATCACGAGCTTTAGCGCAGGTGAAACACACAGGCCATTGGCTGGCGAAGATGGGCGACATGTTCAAGAAGTTGAGGGAGGTGGCTGTGTAGCGGGTGTGATCAACATATGCTATCCTCCATTTGGTCAAGGTTGAAGGTGTTCGTAGTTGTTGTGGCTGAAAGGACCCGACTGCTTTCGACGGCAAGATCGCAGAGTGTAAATGGCATGCCTCAGCAAAGACATTCACACCTTCAGACCAGCTTAAGTCCTCGGCTCAGCACGGTGTTTCTTCTGATTGCAGGAGACATCGGGAAGAATAGGGTAAATATCAAGGTTCACGGTGAACGGAAGCTGGGAAGATGGCGGTTGGGTGCTGCAACGCCTGAGGGAGGACACCTCCGGCATGCCCAGCACACGTGTACTGGCAACAGTTCGTTGGGGGCAGGATATGAAGCTAGGAGGGTCTCCCGAGGGGTGTGTACAGGTGTTTACAGGTGTGTGCAGTGTCCACCAAGTTGCTGATTCCGCAGCTTCCTGGTCCAGTTCCCGACGTAGCTGAAGTCAGGGAGATGCTTTCTCGCTTATCATGCTTTTCGCCGCCACCCCTTCGCCGCTCCTATGACCTTGTCGATGAGTTGCAGCAGGACGCTCCAATCTGAGATGCCAAAGCTTGCTTTGCTGCGTGGTCGATTCGAGTTGTGCCGCATGGCGTTGCCTGCCAGGACATAGAACTTCGTGACTTGCCAGCCTTTCCGGCAAAAGGCTCAAACTATTACTGGGGCCCGTGGTGCCTTGGCTTAAGGTTGTGTTTGCCCTGAGTCATGGTTTCTCTATCCAGGCTTGTAGGCGGCCTGACTTGCGTCAGGCTGGCGTTGGCAGTCGTCTCTGCCTTCATCCTTGAAGCTGTGGGAATCCCAACGCTGGCAAGCCAATCTTACAAAAGCGACGTTTTGGAACTGGTGATCCTCCCAGTGGTCTGGATAGCTGCTTTTACAGCGGTGCTAAGCTCAGTGATCAAAGCTATGGACAAAATCGAATCGCTTCTCTCTGAGCCTTTCTGTAGCGTGTGCACGCATGCGATGTTTGTGCAATTTTGACACGACCGAAGGTTGTCGTGCTGGTGTCCATTGTGTTTGGAGAAACCGGTGAAATTCGGCGAAGTGACGCCGTCTGCTATCCGATTCCCGACAGGGCAAGAGCATTGATTCTCTTGGGCCGGGGGAAGTCTGACGACCTCCCCAATATCGGGGGCTTGAATGGCGAGTCGTACTGCAGCTCATGCCTCGTTTCAGTTTCTCTAGTTCTTGGTGTCCATGAGTTGTCGGCTCTCCAAAACTCATCTTCCTAAGACGACAAAAGAAGGAACCGAGCGATAACTGGACATCTCCTCCCTAAAGCCCTAAACCCTAAACCCTAAACCCTAAACCCTAAACCCTAAACCCTAAACTGCCTTAAGGCACGCGCTGTTTCCTTTGGCGCTCGGAGGGGGCCCACCACTGCAGCACTTGCCAGCGCTGTGTCACAGGTGGCCTGCATCCCCTAACCGCCACCAACTGCCTGGCGTCCTTGAACCTAAAGGTTTTCAAGAACCAAGAACAAAAAAACAAAAATACTAAATAGGAAAGAGGTAATAGTAATAGTAATAATCATAATAATGATAAGGAGTAAGGACCATGTAAGAGATGAAGACAGTAGGCGCTTTAGCGCTTTAGGGTTCGGCTCCCGGTGCTTTCAAGTATTTAGAGGCATCGTGCGGATTTGTCAGGCTGACTCCTTTGGGAAGGTTTTTGGCACACCCGATCTTAGCGAGCTCTCTGTCAGGTTTCGATCATCACTGCAGCTTCTTTGGGCGATGCATCACAAGGCATAATATGTGTAGCTTCCGAACAATCATTGCCTTGTTCTTCGTTGGTGCTGCTGCCCAGATCCTCACCCTATTGCTACTTGGCTGACACAATGAGCACGTGGAGAGCAGCGTCTCACAAATTCCTGTGTTAGCGACCTCTAGAGACCATTCATCCGACGGCCATGCTCGGCCCAGGATAATCAACACAGCTCCTGCACGAACGCCAGCCCCCTATGCTGCGTCGAGCCTCATGATGGAGCCCGTGGGCAGATACTACAACTGAGATGGGTTGTGTGTCGGCAGTGTAGCGAAAAAAGCTGCAGCGCAAAAGCACGCTGCAAGCCTCGTAGGTGCGACTCACGGGCGTTTCTGTGAGAGCACGTTTGCCATATCTTCTCAAGCAGACATCAGCTTGAGTGTGATCCAGCGCACTTTGAGTCCGCGACTCCGAACGGTCCAGAGTGCAACGCTGTCATTGGTAAAACCAATCGGGATCTGGCCAAGAAGGTCCAAGAAGGAGGGTATGCGCAAAGTCTGCATCACCCTTCAAAAACCTCAAAAGACGTCAGCCCGTCGGGAAATCGTGAGAAAACCTTGACATGTTAGTGGAAGTGGTGGAAGCAAAGGAACATCGCCAGCTGAAAGTGAGCACAGACTCGGCAGGACAAGAGCATTCCCAACGATTTGCGGACAGCAAAGCGGGTAGTGGAGTCCATCCAGGACGACTTGAACGAGGAGGACGGACGGCAGCTTGTGTGTCTATCATTGAAAGCTACTTCGCCACTTCAAGCCAGCATTTTCTAAGCCCTTTGCTGCGAGTTCAGCACTGTTTGCTCCCGACACGTTCTTCGGCTCAGACACCAGAACTTGCCTCGCTTTGCCAGTTCGCGCACTGGGAGTTTGGATGGGAAGGGTCGGACATGATGCAGCGGCAGCAGCAGCAGCAGCAGCAGCAGCAGCAGCAGCAGCAGCAGCAGCAGCAGCAGCAGCAGCAGCAGCAGCAGCAGCAGCAGCAGCAGCAGCAGCAGCAGCAGCAGCAGCAGCAGCAGCAGCAGCAGCAGCAGCAGCAGCAGCTTGAAAGGTACCATCATCTGGTGCAAAGTCACCAGCGGCTGCTAATCAGTGCTCTGAGTGCATGGCGATCTGTTGCGGTGAAAGAGGGGCAAGACCGTCGCAAGTCATACAGGCTGGCTGCGAGTCTCCGGTTGCGATGGCTCTTTCGCGCATGGCAGTCTGTCTCCCGGGTGCATTCGTTAACCTCAGCTGCTTGCGTGCGGCCTGTTGATGTGCCGCATGTGCCGCCGCTCCTTCTCCAGTTCCATCAGTACCAGCAGCAGCAGAAGGAGAAGTTCATAAGCCAACGGATGCTGAGGCTCAAAGTTGCCTGCAAGTCCCGTGTCAATCGAATTCGGTGGATGGCGCGAGCAGGTCAGAAGGTCTTACATGAGTGGAAGCGTGCGAGCCGCATGGCCGTGCTTGAACGATCGATCTCACACCAGCTGAGGACACATTGGCACGCCTACCTCCGACGCATTCTTGAGTCGCTGAGGCAGGTGGCAAGTGCTGCTAGGACTGCGCGGGACGCGGCACTGCAGCTGGAAAGGCGTCGGCTCGCATGGGTGCTGCCGGCTCTCCAGGCAGCTGCGAGATCAAGCAAGGCCTTGCGGGAACGTTCGGTTCTCGCCCGGCTCGGGTTCCGGAAGCATCGCCTGCTGCGGAGCTTGAGCTCATGGCAGGTCAGAAGTATGACCCGAAGGCATCAACGCCTTTGTGATCTTAATGCCGTAAGCAGGCTCAGGCATCATATCTTGCATCAGGCCTTGGGGAAGCTGCGTAGCTTCACTCTGCTTCGAGCAAAGTGCCGCGATTTACGCATGAGATCGATTCAGCAGTCAGCATCCAGAGCCTTGCAGAACCTTCGGCAGGCTGTCCTTTGTTCTAGGAAAAGCCAGGGCATCACTCACGTTCACAAACAAGCAGTCATGCAAAGCGTGGTTCGTCATTGGATGATGCTACATGTGGCGCATGCGAAGCTGGCTCTGCTGTCGAAGGAAGGGCTGCGTTCTGCGCGGCAGCTTCTTCATTTTTGGTGGCAAGGCTCCAACTTCAGCGAGATCCTCCAGTGGTGGAAGCTTGGCCTGTTGATTCAAGCGAAAGAACGACAAGCCACTGCTATGAACCTTCAGTTTGCCTGGCGCAACAGCCGGACGGTGCTGCAAGAATGGTGTGCCACAGCAAGGCAGCTGCGGAGAGACCGCGATGCTTTATGTTGCCGGCGAAAGCTGGCGTTGCTTCGGTGCTGCTGGAATGTCTGGGTGAGACAAGTTGTGATGGTGCAACTGATGCAGGGGTTTTGCTACAAGCAGCAGCTTGCTTGGGCCAGCTGTGTCTTCAAGCAATGGCAAAAGCAAGTCACCTCTCGGCGGCTTGCAAGTCTCCTTGTCCGGAAGCGTCACGCAAGCCTCCGCAAACGAGGCTTCAGCCGTTGGCGCGCTCGCAGTTTGTCTAGACGGAAGGATTTGCATCTGCAGAGCCACGTGGTGCTAGCATGGCTGGAGTGGGCAGCTTTGCGAAGACAGGTACGTGATGACGTCGCGTGGCAGCGGTGGGCAGATGGCGTGGCCGATCTTTTTATCTCTCGTAGACTGCTGCGTGGTCTGCCAACATGCTTTAGCACCTGGTGCCATTGTGTTCGGCAACGGAGGGCATTGAAAGCCCGCGCAGCTGCGCATGAGACAGAGTCGGCCAGACGATGCATGCAGTTCGCCTTTGGTACACTTCGTTGTATCCTGGCTTTGCGACGCATGCAGCGTTTCGATTCCACAAGGTGCCCGCGGGAGGTTCGCTCCTCCTTCCTACATCTTCGCCGGGCATGCCAAATGTCTGCCAAAGCAGGGACACTACAGGCCGCGAGTCAAAGTGGACGCAAGGCGCAGGCAGCTCTTCTGAATTCCTGGTGCATGTCCGGTGCTGAAGTGAAGTCATCTTAGGCATTCCAAGCTCTTCTGAAGCTCTATCAGAAGAGGCCACGGGCTTGACTCGGGCCAAACCCTTCACGGTTTTGAACCCAAGGTGTCCCCTGCTCCAGGTGTTCTGCAAAGTCTATGGAGGCGGTATTGACTCGGCACCGTCTTGGTCGAGCACTTCTCAGATTTAGGACTGGATCGCAAGCTTCGGCATGTCCTCCTCCTTGGTGCAGATCATCTGCAGACTAGATGACCCTTTTGTGCAGGCACTTCCAGCAGAGAATGGATGCGATTGAAGCATCTGCAAAGCTGGTTGCCCTGATGCAAAGTACGCAGCTGACCTGTTAAGCTGGTTGCTTTGCCAATCCGCTTCGTTTGATTCAAAGAGGTTGCACGTCGCTGCCGGCTTTTTGCCGCCTTAGCTCGATGGCGCAAGGCACGCTGAGTTCTGGAGTCTCGAGATTTGCAGGGCATGGTGGATGTAGTGGATGTAGTCACGATATAGTCTAAAGCACAGAAAGAAGTGACTCCCAATTTCCAGTAGTATCAGGGTCGAAGCCGTGCCAAAGCACGTAGCTGCGCCGTATCAGTAGAGATGCAGGAACTTGCGCTGCAAATGCGCAAGACTTGGCTCCCTGCTGTCTTCGTTGAGTGGAGAGAGGCGCGGTGGCACTTCATTCTTACATATCCTTGGCCATGTTACGGACATGAGCTGTTTGGCTGCAGGTCTGTCGTAGGGAGCGTCTGCGACGACTTCGACAGCGGCGGTATGTGCGCCCCGCCGCCGGAGTGCATCAGCTGTAGGTATGCTGTAGGTGGCGCGTGCAAGCCCAAGCCATCGATGCAGGGGCTGCTTCGCTGGAGGACGTATGTCAAAGACTGCCAGGCCCTGAGTTCATCTGAGCTCATCCTGAATGCTGTCCAGGTGCTGGCAAATGCAGCTGCTACTAAGCTGTCACTTTAACTTTCAGAGAGCCTTTAATCTCAGCTCCAGGTACACAAGGCACGAAAGCATTCCGAATGGAGAATTCAAAGTTCCAAGGTAGACAGAGAAGGCGGCGCGCCGTACTGGCAGACTTGCTCCTTCGCCGCCGCCGAATGCGAGCCTTGCCCTCAGCTACGCATGGATTTGAGATTCTTTGGACCTTGGAGTCCGGAAAATCCCAAAACTTCCTGCCCTGATCTATGGGGATGTTAGGCTGTTACGCGCTTTCTTTTCAGTGATTGATGCACCTCCTTTTTTCAGCAGGGAGTGCTTCTTCCGTGGCAGCTGGCAGCTGCATTCTCCAAGGAGGCACTCGCACGGTAGGTTGTGGTTGTGAGGCTTTAGGGTTTAGGGGGGAGCAGTGGGCCCTAAACTGTAGTGAGCTTTCGCTTAAGAGCAAGTTGGCGGTGGGGCAACTGTTGCTGCGGGACTGTATCAGGCGTGTTGTTTGCTGTCGCTTGCTGGGAGGACGAACGGGGGGCCTGACTTCTTATGGGATCAAAGCTTTGCCAGGCTGGAGAGTTGAAGGACCGCTGGAGCGATGCCGATGTGGTTCCAGGCTTGTAGACCCGGGTTTGATCTTCATTTTGTGAGAGCACGCCTCACCTACACATACCACTATAAACTGGGGCATGCTGGTGCAATCTTGTAGTGTGTGCCTGCTTTTTGGAGGCTAGAGATTGTAGATTGCACATGTTTGGGGCTTGTGCACGGTGCAGGCTTGCAGCGGCGCGCCTTCATGGGCTACAGAGATGCCTCCCATGAAACGTGATCAGTGATGACCCTGATGTCAACGTCCTATTTCAACATCCACCGTCGCGTGCCTGGACTTTGGAGGCAGACGCAGTCCATGTGCTTACGCGGTCGAGCGAGTGAGGAGGAAGCTTGGATAAGCTGGACCGGTGGCAGCGTGGATCGCGATGATCGGCTGCCTCCGTGCGACGTAGCATCACAAGCTGCGTGCGGATCGCCGTTTGGATCGTGGTCGGCTGGTCGTGCCTGCCGGTGCGGCACGCCGAAGCTGCATGAAGCCTCCAAGCCACTCTCGGGATGTGCAGCTTGACGATGCTTGATGTCAAAGTCAAAGTGTGACGATTGTGGCTGAGGAGGCTGACTTTCAAGCAGACAGCATCAGACAGCTACCAAGTACGACGCGGCTCGACACAGCTTTGACGGCAGAGCCTCGAGCTGAGCAGTAGAGGCAGAGATGTGAAAGGTGTTACTCGTATGATACAGGTGAGAGTCTGCCGAGTCGCCAAGAACGTGCCTCTCTACTGGTCCACAGAGCTGAAAGTTGGGGAGGTTTCGCTTGTTGTGTTTCTATGGGTTTCTCAGGAGTGGCATGTAGATGTTTTCGTGATGTCCATTTGGTAGCTAGGCCTAGCTGATGCAAATAAGCTGTATAATACGTATCCGACCTAATGCTGCCTTGCGGGGTCGTTGCTTGTCCACCGGACGATACAGGACATGTCGGGATTGCAGCCCAATTCTCTAATCTGTTAGCCCTCAGTGTTGATTCTCTTGTGCCTTGCGTTGCATGCCATGCAGATTTCATGCTGCGCATTTTGGCTGCCTGCGCAGTGGAATTCTTGTCCAAAGTCCGTCTGCATGGGGCCTCTGGAGTGCAGGAGCTGTTGAGAATCGTCCTGAAGGCGAAGGAAGAGGGTAACTTGAAGGAGCGGTGTGTGCAGTGAACCTAAGCCACAGTACCACACCTCCCTGTATTATCGAAACGGGAAGGAAGTTATCTGATAAGGGCTTCGACATGTGGCGTGAAGAGCAACCCTAAACACCAAACCCTAAGCCCGAAACCCTACACCCAAACCCTGCACCCTACACCCTACACCCTACACCCTGAACCCTAAACCCTAAACCCTCCTATGCTAGGCTGCTGCGGACTGCGGAGTTGGCCATCTTGCACGGGTGCGGTGCTTATATCGGACCGAAGTATCCTTAGTGACCTGTCAGTCTCTTGGTTGAGCCAGCAGAAGCGGCTCGGGTTGATGTCAGCTAGTCAGGTGCTAGTACTCTGCGTTTATGATGCCGCGGTTTGCGTGTCGAGAATCTGTCAGGTGGCACAAGATGTCGGCTCGAAGGCCGACCATGGAGCCTGAAGATATACAGACTTGCGATTCCGGGAGTTCGTGTATGCATGGTTCTGAGCATGGCTGCGATGCAGTGCAGGAACGGATCTGGGTTCCAGCAGTTCTGGCCTCAGCAGCTAAGTGTTCTGCTCGACATGGCCTCCCCCCCGTGGGTAGGGTGGCCAGAATGTGGCCAAGGCCCCAACTGAGTCTTGTGACCAAGGTCGATGCCAGCACGGCCTCTGCAACCAAAGGCGCCCTGCGGAGCCCCTTCGAGAGTGTCGTCAGTACAAGGGCTGTTTCGCGTACTTGCGGTGAGAGCCCGCAGGAGAGGCGAAGACAGGCAAAGGCAAAGGCAAAGACAAAGGCAGGGGTAAGGGCAAAGGCAAAGACGATCAAGTCAAAGGTAAAGGCAAAGGCAAAGCCAAAGCCAAAGGAAGAGGTGATGCCAAGGCTAAGGGAGAAAGCCAGGACCGGACTACATGACAAAGAGCCGAAGAGCATTCTCTAGTATGCTGCATCCTCGCGGTGGCTTTCATTCTTCTTGCAGCGCGCAGGACTTCGGCGAAGGCACAGATCACAAAAGCACCTACAATGAGAGAGAAGGCGGTGACGACGCGACGAGTTTGGTAGGATGAGCATCGTTGAGCATGCGTGGGCATGCCTGCTGCTTGGGCAGTCCATCGTGAGGAGCTTCTGCTGAAGAACAACCGAAGCCACCGTCAACAGACTCAAAGGCTCGCCCTTCCAAGGTTTTCGCCTCAGCTGCTGTGTCGTTGGATGGGGCTGGAAGTTGTGAGCCAACATCCGAGGCAAAAGGCAAAGGTCGCCAATCCGGTGGCAACAAGGGCCGATCCAAAGGCAAGAGGAAGAAGACCAGGAGTGCTCCGTAGATTAGGAATCAGACGGTGGCGTAACCGGTATATGGTTTAGGGCTATCACATCATGTCGCTGCCAGGGAGCTAGACGACGAAGAAAACCTGGATCTGATGCAGTGCTGCCCCGAGCCATTTCAACACAGAGTGCTGCCAACACACAGCATGCTTCGCTTTCTCTCTCTGCTGACAAGACACCAACAATAGTCATACTAAGCATTGACAGTAGTCGTAGAAGTAGTCGTAGTACTGGTAGTAGTCGTCGTCGTGTCGTCGTAGTCGTCGTAGTCGTCGAAGTCGTCTTAGTCGTCGTAGTCGTCTTAGACGTCTTGGGCGTCGTAGTCGTCGTAGTTGTTGTAGTCGACGTAGGTTGTCGGAAACGCGGTTGTGCTGGCTGCCGCAGTTGTCGTATCTGTCGTCGTCGTCGTCGTCGTCGTCGTCGTCGTCGTCGTCGTCGTCGTCGTCGTCGTCGTCGTCGTCGTCGTCGTCGTCGTCGTCGTCGTCGCAGTCGTCGTAGCAGTGGTCGTAGCAGTCGTCGTAGTAGCAGTCGTCGTAGTAGCAGTCGTCGTAGCAGTCGTCGTCACAGTCGTCGTCACAGTCGTCGTCGCAGTCGTCGTCGCAGTCGTCGTCGCAGTCGTCGTCGCAGTCGTCGTCGCAGTCGTCGTCGCAGTCGTCGTCGCAGTCGTCGTCGCAGTCGTCGTCGCAGTCGTCGTCGTCGGAGGAGGAGGAGGAGGTGGTAGTAGTCGTAGCAATAAAACAAGAGACCAGCCATCAGAGTTTCCACAATAAAAGTGCATAGTAACAGCAGTGATAGTAAGATACGTGCGAGTGTAACAGCGTTAAAATCATTGTTATTGTAGACGTGCCAACACCAGCAATGGTAGAAATACTACAAGCATTATTCAGAGCAACAACAGTTGTATTGATGCTCACGAAAAAAGCAGAAAAAAGCTGCTTTGCAAGTCATCGTAGCAGTAGCAGTGGGAGTACGAGTAAGAGTAAGAGTAAGAGCAAGAGCAAGAGCAAGAGTAAGAGTAAGAGTAAGCATAGCCATGCAAGAAGAAGAACTGTCTTTGTTGCAGGTGGAGCCAGCAGCTGGAAACAGAGCAAGCGGAGCCAGCAGAGCTTGCAGAGCAGGCTCAGCTTTCCCCGGCTCTGCCTGGCTATTCTGATTGTTGTTGCTAGTGTTATTCTTGGTCTTATTTGTATTCTTGAAATTCTATGGCATTCTTAATGAGTATGAATCCTATTGTTTTCTTGTTGTTGCTACGGTTCTTAGCATTCGAATGATTTCGGCTGTTGTTGGTTTTTTTGTTGGTTGGTTTACGACAGATCGAAATGTTATTGCGTGTTATTGTGCACGTGCCCTGCTCTGGATTGACAGTGCATGACGACTTGAGGCCGGAAGAAGCTTTCCGCCGGAGCCGACAGAAGCTGCGCATGAGCCGCCGCTTGCGTTTGCCGCGGCTCCTGCCAGGCTTGGAGAGGATTGCTTTTGTTCGTCTGTTTTTTGCAACAGCAGCAGTTGGCGCTGGTGCAAGGCCTCGGACTTTAGCAGACCTCTTGCAGAAGGCTGGTGGATCTTCCCAAGCTGTTGAACTCGGCTTCGCAAAGCGTTTGGCAGGACCCGGCAGAAGATGTTGACGACAAGATGGATCAAGGGGTGCTACCAGCCTCATTCATGTTTCCACTGAAGCACGAGAAGCAATAATAGTGAGTAGACGCAGGGCGCTGCATACAAACAAGCTCCGGGGCCCTCGATCCAGTGGAAAAGGTAGCAGGTGAGACCTCCTTGATCGGTGCATTTTATCGAAGCTTGCAACAAGGAATGTTCTCTGCCAGATCTGGCAGGTACGTGCAGAAAAGATGAAAAGGTCGGCGCCGTTTTCCAGCCCAAACCTTATGTTTATCCTTATCTTCTTGTCGGTGCAGGGGGGGGGCGGCGTTGCAGGGTTGGAGCTCCAAAACCTCGCAGCACCTCGTGGCCATTTGGTATCCTCTGGTCTTTGCTCAAAGGCCCAGTGCGTCAGCAACGGCCACGAACTGTTGCAGATGCCCGGGGTGCGAGCCTTGAGGTTTGTCGTAGATGTTTTCTAGCATGGTACGCGGCGCGACGTGTACAGTATACATGAAGCCCTGTATGAAATCGTCCCACTTCACGTGCTGTAGCCTGGTATGGCGGGGTAGCAGCATGTACCTTGTTCCCTGTGTGAGTAAGCTTTGTGTTCCACACCACCATTGGTCCGAATAAAAGTCCGCAGCTTGACTGGTTTTCACGTGACAGCAACCCCTTTGGATCTTTGTGCAAGTTGCCCAAACCGTGCGGTGAGGTCTTGGAGGTGGCGAGGTCGGGCCATTGTTGCTCGGCTTCTGTTGGTGTTCGCTTCCCGCTCTAGGCTCCAGGTTAGGGTTGGAGAAGGGGTTGGAAGCATGGCATGTGCTGGCTTCGCCTAGATATTGCGCCCAAAAACACAACAGCCAGATCCTGCGCACATCCAAATATAGATCAAAAGTTTAGCGCACTCTCCTGCACTCGAACTCCCAAACACGCCCCCGAAATTTTTGGAGTCAAAAACATGCGCTGAAAGCCATCTTTTGGGATGTGCGGCAACCCCGTGCACGATGATGAGCGTGAATCAAGAAACAGCCCACATCTTTCAGTCAGCCTGATAAACCGTAGGTTACTCGTCAGCAGCCAGACCAGACGGCGGTTCCCTGGAACTAGGGCTCTGTGATCATGCTGAAAGGAAAACATCTTCTGAACCCACACTGAACCAACTTGTGCGAAAGCACTGGAAGCACGTGCAGAACGTCCCATGATTTGGGCATACCTGCGGCGTAATATAGGGGTCGGAATAATTACGAATAGTATTTCCTTATGGCACCTTTATAAATGTACTCTAAGACCCCCCAAGACCCTGTTCTAATTTTTTTTCGGCCCCTGTATTACCCCCTTAAGTCTTTGCGACATGAGAAGTCCCAGGTTGCGCCGCAGCGGCCTCAAACGGAAGCCCCGGCTTCCGGGCCTTTCGGATTCAGGCGCACGTGCTTCTTTCAACGTGGAAGACAGGGTCCTGGGGTTTAGGGTCCTGGGGTTTAGGGCTTAGGGTCCTGGGGTATAGGGTATTTAGGGTTCAGGGTCATGGCGCGTAGGTTTCAAAGTCTTCCTGGGAATCATGGGGCCCTAGAGACATGTCAGGTGCATGACTCGCATGGTTTCCGACATTGTTGGTTGTTGGTCTCCTGTATTTTGAAGGCTTGCATTTGTGTTGCAAAGCTGGGTGCTGCAACGGAGTTGCTCTGCTTTTCCGTGTCTTTTCAGCTTCCCCGAGATCGTTTGATGTTTCTAGGTTGGGGTGCAAGGGCATGAAGATGTTCGAAGTGCGAGTCTCGCAATGTTGTTGCGGTTCGTGACCTAGGCTGATGTTTGGAGGGAAATGGGGCGTGGTTTATAAACTCTATACAACGTCAATCTCTTTGAAATATGATGTCATGCCGGCGCCGCTGCCAAGAAGTCTCCAAGTTCTATTTGACACTGGACAGTAAAATATCCGCCTGGCGAAAGTCGCGCATCCTCCGCATCTTGTCGGCAGTTGATGTACACCGAGAAACATCGTGCACGCATCCATGGTTGCTCGACGGTGCAAGACGAGTCGGTGCAGTGTAGCATGACTGCTTTCTTGCTGCAGTTCAGACGCTATTCTTCCTTTCCATTACTTCAGTAGAACATTTTAGTGCTGCTGTGCTAATGCTAAGGTCAGCCCCGATCCAGATGGCCTTTGGGCAAGGATGAGCTGCTCGAATGGGTTGTGTTCAGCTTCCGTTTCCTTGTCTGCACGGGGCATGATGCTGCCGGTCTCAGCTCCCCAAGGCTTTGCTAGCAGAGTGGTGCAGGACGGCCACCAGCTCCCGCAATGAATCAGATGTGTGCGTTTTCACCGGTCATGTGTGGGCTCGATGGGCTTCCTTCGTTTCAGCATGTGCACATGGCTTCTCCAGAAATGGCCTCGCCTCCAGAAGTGCCCATGAAAGGCCGCCTGGCTCATCCTCACGGTCGCAGGCGTCCCAGCGCCGGCAGACGGTGAGAACAGCAGCTGCCACAACCCCACACTGAAGCTGGATGAGGAGCGCCTTCCTCATAACACGTGCTAGAGCCTGCATATTTGAGGCACCGCGGACACAGACAGCTACATAAAAGATACGGAAGATGTCATGTGGCACAGTGGGTGCCAGGAATCAGAGACACCACTCTTTGGAGCTGTGTTTGTTCAGCTGAATGCAACCAAGAAGGTGGGAGTAAAGCGAACGGCTCAGATTGATGCGAGCCACTTACGGAAGTCTTACGGTGCATCAGGGTGCACGCTACTGGCATCTTGCAGCCAGATGACACTGTTTGACTGCAAATGGGTTCATCTGGATATTCGAAAGGTCGACCCCGCCTGCCAAGCACGAGTTTCTGCCTAAACCGAATGCCACCCAGAAGATCGTGCCTTGGTTCATCTTGGTTCACTGATGTTTTGGCAACCTCGCCTTTGATGTGCATGTCTGCCCATGTCACTGCATTCTTCAACTCAGGAAGAAACCATCGCAGATTCTGTCAGCAGCAACAAAGGCCAGATCGCTCGTGGCTTGCCTTAACAGGAAAGCGACGTTGCATGTCTCACCATCGCAGAAGTGATGCCATGTTCTTGGAAGTGCTGTTGAGCTTCCTAAACGCCATCCGACCTTCCTCTCATGGGCCGTGCTTTGTGCAAGGTGAGACTGCCACCAAAAGCACCCCCGGCTGCAAATCTGACTGCCAGCAGAAGCAAAGTTTGGGAACCCCAGACCCTAACTCCATCGTTTGAGAAGAAGTACCGAAATCCTGAGAGCCGCGTTAGCCTTTATGTGTCTTCCAGGACTTCCATAAATCAGGCTTCGCACATGGCTCAGTTGCACAACATCTGCTTGGCTAAGGCAAGAGCAACGAGTCTTCAGACTCAGACGAGGTGGTTGAGCAGGCCGCCGCCAATGTGTCAGTGGCGATGTGATGACTGTTCCCCACTCTCCTCCTGGGTAAGCCTGTCATGTCGAAGAGCTCACTACCACAACCCTGCTCAGAATTCCAGTCAAATACCAACTCGCTAAGCAACGACGGCAAGTGTTTGTAAATCCACGGCAGCAAATGCGGCCCAAGGCGATTGAAGCAGAAAACAGCAACCTCGGCGATCGGGGTGAGCGCCCGGGATGCCTCTGCGTCTTTGTCCCGACAAACGGCAATTGCTACTCTTTCAAAGAAATCCAGATGTACCAGTGCTGCTTAGCACCCATTTGGTGCTTTGTGGTGCGCTAACGGGCTCGGGAGAGCCCGCTCGTACTGACGACAAGCAGGCTCTTGCAAGCGGGCACAGCCGATTGTGCTGACTCGACGCAAAGATAAGCAGGGTGCTAAGCAGCCCTGTCGCGACTCAAGGGCTGCAGGCAGCAGGTGCCGGTTGTTTCCCGCCGAGGCCGGGGTAGACCCGGCTCTTGTCCCGCGCTAGTGCCAAAGAGTCCACTGGGTGTTGTGTACTGCTTGCTCTGCGGCTGCGCCTGTGCCGGTTTGCGCGGTGGAAAGCGCGGCGCATGGATAAGTTTTATGTCCGGCCTCGTTCCTGTTGGGCGGCAACGTTTGGAAGGATCCGAGACCCGCTTACTCGGAGATCTAGGTTTGTTTTTTGGGGGCTCTTGTTGGGGTGGTTTTATTTTGAAAGTGATGACCCGTAATCCTAAGCGAGATGCCCTAAACCCTAAACCCGAAGCCCTTCTTTCCCTTGCAGTGCTCGTGAGTGGTCTTTGGATTTCGAAGAGGTTGTTGCTCGGATCATTCTGTTTCTGTACCGGGGCGGCAGGAGAGGCAGACCCCCACCCGCCCTGTGGAAGCACACTGATCCTCCGGCCACCCGTGCCCTTCCCCTCCCACCGAGGCAGGAACATCATTTTGTCAGGCAAGACCGCGACTGGCGAGAGCCATTCCTAGGTGAGAAGGCGCATTTTCCAAAGGAAAAGGACCCGAACCAGAAAAGGATCTGTCGCGTCCTCCGCGCCGTCGCCGTCCCTCTGCCCGCTTGGCCCAGTTACTTTCGAAGGTTGTGATGCCTGAAAACTCCCTCCCTTCCTAAAGTCGTCCTTAACTTGAGCAGTTTTGAGCAGGTTGACGAGCACACTGCCTTTGCCCACGCACACTACGAAGCGCCCGCAACAAACGTACCTCCGATGCATGCTTTGCAAGGGCTGCTTTCAGGGATATGCTTGCGCACCCATGCTGTCGACAGACATTTGGGTGCTTTGAAAGATTTCGGGGCTTGCTCGTCAATCGTGGTGTGGCTGAGGCAACAGATATCTCCGTGGTCATTCGGATTGCTGAGCCGAGCCTTGGTAAGGATAGTAGCACAACATGCTGTCAGAACCCATGCGCGAAGTTTGCGGCCGTACTGGCGGTCACCGTTCAGCGGAGAGAGTCCACGTTGCAAGGAATCAAGTCGTCACCCTTTACCTTTTCATCTTTGTGCCGTTGTCGATGGCGTGGATATACTACTACTATCGAGGCTTTGCAGATGCAATGACTGTGCCCATGTTCGGAGACTGCTCAGGCTAAGGCCGCCAGATTGCGTCGCATGGGAAGTTATAAAAACCGCTCAGCCTGAGGCCGCCAGATGCCGTCGCATGGGAGGTTATACATGCTTCTGCTGCAGAGCTTTGGCTACGTGTACTTGGTGATCGCAGCATCGCATCGCCTGCCAGCTTTCAGGCTGTCGCCTTGAAAGCAATATCAGCAGCTAAGGATCACCGTTGCTGCCTTCAACCTGGGCACCATACTTGTGAACCAGTCGCTTTGTGTTCTGATGAAGGCACCCATGGCACTCACAGCCATGCAAGGCATCTCCATGCCCCCCGGCTGTACGGCCCTGAAGAAAAGAGCATGCAGCCCCCCAGAAAGCAGTTCTGCCATTTTGAGGATGCACGCCGGTTCGGGTCAATACCCTGAGGCTAGTGTTCGGCGTTGTGTTCTGCGTGGTACACTTCATCAACGTTGGATCCAGGCCTCGGCGTTGGCAGAGTTCGGGGTGTGTGTTTAGGGTGGGAGCTAGGAAGCTGCATTGCTTTCGAGAAGCTGTGAGGATCTTGTTAGGGATTTGTGCTTGAATCGTTTGAATCCTGCAAGAGGCCCGATCTCTCTCTCTTGAAGAAAGATGTTCTGCTTTGGCTGCCAGCAGCTGCAGCTTTCGGCCCCTGGCTGAGACTTGTGCAGAGCACCATCTCCCCACTCTCCCCCCCTCAAAGTCTCATGATCACCTCTTAGGGCGCAGGATCCTCGAGTTCGCCCCCCCCCCCCCCCCCCCCCCTCTGTCGTAAGGCGAAGAGAGGGAGAGAAAAACACGGTGGTGCGTGCTAGTCACGGAAAGTGCACCTCTCCGTGTGTTTCAAAAGCAGAGAAAGCCGAGGTGCGCACCAGCTCGCCGACCACTACGAAGCCAACTTTTGCTCCCTGTCAGAGCGAACGGTGTTTGGGAACCTGGCACCCGTCTTGGGCCTCTTCTTCGAGGTCAGCCTTAGCTCCGTCATGCAACGACGCGCTTCCGACAAAACGGCGGCAAGCCTGTCTTCCAAGATGGCCCTGGCACTCAAAGTCTTCGGGGCATCCATCTTCGCGCTGCAATATCCGGATTTCAACACCCGAGGGTTGGAGGTTTCCACATTCTTCATAATCTCCATGGTGATTTACAGGCTGGTACAACGTTTGATGCTGGGCCACGTGCAAAGCCCCCTCTGTGTGCTAGCTTCCATCGATGCAGTGGTATGCTTTTTGGTTTCGGCTGCTCTTACCAAGAACGAAGTTGATGATTTGCCCGCCTCTTTGCGGTTGTGGTGGAATAATGCATCAATCACAGTAATGCTTGCCTTGTCCTTCGTGACATTCAGCGTCGGGCACTGGGCTACGCTGCACCTCGTGAATACCGACACGGCCACGGCGACCATGGTCATCAGCAATATCGCCAGTGGTTTCAGCGTGTTCCAGGGTTCGCGTCTCAGTGTTCCCCTGGTTCTCAGTAGGGAAGGAGGAAATTAGGGCCCTAGAATACCCTTTAAGTAGGGAGTATATTTAGGGTTTATATTCCTGCTATTGGTGAGTGTATATAAGGTTCCTTTTGAATATTGGTGAGTGTATATACCGGGTGTCCCTTGGGGATACAAGAAATATATACCCTACTTCATATAGGGTACCTCACCCTAAACCCTAAACCCTAAACCCTAAACCCTAAACCCTAAACCCTAAACCCTAAACCCTAAACCCGAAACCCTAAACCCTAAACCCTAAACCCCATTCCCTCATTCCCCACTAAGAGCCAGCCCAGTTTTCAAGCACTTCTGGGTCTCAAGGAACCCGGGAGAGCCTTAGCCAAGGCATCCTCTTCTTTCACGACGATGACTTCCAGCGGCCCATGGCTTTCGCAGCCGTGAAGCAGTCAGAGGGTTTAGGGTTTAGGGTTTTGGGTTTAGGGTTTAGGGTTTAGGGTTTAGGGGGGCTTTCTTCGTAGTGCCGTAGGGCCTGCCTGGGTTTTCCCAGAGTTTCACTAAGCCGGGGATCACGGGTGAGAACCAAGGTGGGCATCATGATTGTGATTTTGGCCGGCATGTGGTGGACGATGAACCAAAGCTTGGCTGCCAGGGACGAAACTGAGACCAAGAAGCAGGCAGATGATGGTGCTCCAGCTGTGCCGCCTGACTTCAACTCCACGTCAGGTAGTCTGCATGACAAGGAGGGACAGAGAGGGAGAGGGAGAGGGAGAGGGAGAGGGAGAGGGAGAGGGAGAGGGAGAAGGAGGGAGAGGGGGTCTTCAGGCAATTCAGGTAGTGAGCTTGTTGCTGTCTTCGGGGGGTGCTAAATGACCGAACCTCCCAAAGTTTGCATCAGGGGGTGCCCCAAGTCGAGCAGGGCAGAGGCTATGCCCCGAGAAAGTATTCGGGAGCTGACAAGAGGCAGAGTCAGCGCATGTAAAGTCAGGAATCCCTGAGCGTTCTGGAGATGCGCTGAGTGTTTGCTAACCAGCAAGTTAAGTTCTGCAGAACATCGACTCCCCAGCGCCATGTGGGGGGTTTACGAAAATGTGAGACCCCCAATATAGGCCTCAAATAGTAGGATCCCTTGATCATAAGGACCCCAATAAGGTACAGCCCCCATGTATAAAGAAAGAAAATCAAGAGATATGAAGTCAAGAAAGGAGTAGGGGTTCTAACCATGACAAAAACGTTTTTACAAATGACAAGGGTTTCTTTGACAATGATAGTGGTTTAGGGTTGGCACGATAGAGCGATAAAGATTCGAGTGAGGCACAAGAGCTTCAATTCAGTCCCAATTCAGTCCCAAATGAGGCCAAGAGCTTCAATTCAGTCCCAATTCAGTCCCAAATGAGGCCAAGAGCTTCAATTCAGTCCCAAATCAGTTCCAAATGAGGCCAAGAGCTTCAGTCCCAAATGAGGCCAAGAGCTTCAATTCAGTCCCAAATGAGGCCAAGAGCTTCAATTCAGTCCCAAATGAGGCCAAGAGCTTCAATTCAGGCCAAGAGCTTCAATTTAAAATCTCAATTCTGAGGGCTTTGTCACTCCCATGTGGGTCTCGGGGGGGTGGGGGGGCACCCGCAGTGACAGAAAGAACCTGGTTTTGGAGTTTTGGGAGGCCCAAAACCTCAATTCTCAGGTTTTTTTGTCACTCCCATGTGGGTCTGCGGGGGGGGGGGGGGGGGGGGGGGGGCACCCGCAGCGACAGAAAGAACCTGGTTTTGGAGGTTTGAGGCTTAAAATCTCAATTCTGAGGGCTTTTTGTCACTCTTATGGGGTCTGGGCGCAGTGACAGAAGTTTCATGGGAGGGGGGGGGGGGGCGCCCGCACGCAGTGACAGAAACACCTGGTTTTGGAGCTTTGGAGGCCCAAAACCTCAATTTCAGGTGTTTTTCTGATTCCCATGTGGGGGGCGGGGGCATCCGCAGTGACGAAAGGGGGGGGGGGGCACCCGCAGTGACAGAAAGAACCTGGTTTTGGAGCTTTGGGAGGCTTAAAATCTCAATTCTGCGGGCTTTTTGTCACTCTGATGTGGGTCTGGGCGGGGGGGGGTTGTTGGCGCCCGCAGTGACAGAAGGAGCTTTGGGAGGCTTAAAATCTCAATTCTGAGGGCTTTGTCACTCCCATGTGGGCCTCGGGGGGGGGGGGGGGCACCCGCAGTGACAGAAAGAACCTGGAGTTTTGGGAGGCCCAAAACCTCAATTCTCAGGTTTTTTTTTGTCACTCAGAAAGAACCTGGTTTTGGAGGTTTGGGAGGCTTAAAATCTCAATTCTGAGGGCTTTTGGTCTCTTACGTGGGTCTGGGCGCAGTGACAGAATTTTCATGGGGGGGGGGGGCGCCCGCAGTGACAGAATTGGAGCTTTGGGACTCCCAAAACCTCAATTTTCAGGTGTTTTTTTCATTCCCATGTGGGGGGGGGCATCCGCAGTGACAGAAAGGGGGGGGGGCACCCCAGCAGTGACAGAAAGAACCTGGTTTTGGAGCTTTGGGAAACTTAAAATCTCAATTCTGAGGGCTTTTTGTCACTGCCATGTGGTCGGGGAGGGGGGGGGGCGCCCGCAGTGACAGATTCAGTGGGTCGGGGGGGGGGGGGGGGCCCCAGTGACGTCTCTGGGGGGGGGACCCGCAGTGACAGAAAGAACCTGGTTTTGGAGCTTTGATAGGCCCAAAACCTCAATTCTCAGGTTTTTTTGTCACTTCCGTGTGGGTCTGGGGGGGGGGGGGGGTTGCACGCGCAGTGACAGAAGGAGCTTTTGGGAGGCTAATCTCAATTCTGAGGGCTTTGTCACTCCCATGTGGGTCTCGGGGGGCACCCGCAGTGACAGAAAGAACCTGGTTTTGGAGTTTTGGGAGGCCCAAAACCTCAATTCTCAGGTTTTTTGTCACTCAGAAAGAACCTGGTTTTGGAGGTTTGGGAGGCTTAAAATCTCAATTCTGAGGGCTTTTTGTCACTCTTATGTGGGTCTGGGCGCAGTGACAGAATTTTCATGGGGGGGGGGGGGCGCCAGTGACAGAAACAACCTGGTTTTGGAGCTTTGGGAGGCCCAAAACCTCAATTTTCAGGTGTTTTTAGGGGGGGCATCCGCAGTGACAGAAAGGGGGGGAGGGGGGGCACCCGCAGTGACAGAAAGAACCTGGTTTTGGAGCTTTGGGAGGCTTAAAATCTCAATTCTGAGGGCTTTTTGTCACTCCCATGTGGTCGGGGGGGGGATTGTGGCTATCATGCACTGAGGCACAAATCCTTATCATGGTTAAGTGATTCCTTGTTGTGGTTAAAAAAATGGGTCCTTAGTGCGGTTACGACCCCGCCTCAGAAAGAAAGCGATCGCTGTCGCTTCCTCTGAACTTGCCAAGTCTGACAATGTGTCAGCGGCCCTCTTGCCCGAAAAAGCGCATGCTCCCAGCTGTGGGAATGAGGGTGTGATCTTCGTGGGGCAATCTCCAAGCGGTTTCGAAGCGCACGTGACAGCCGAGCTGACCCTGCAGAAGCGTGCCGAAACAGGTGACCTGGCCAAAGCTGCTCCCGCGCTTCAAGTTCCCGTAGTGGGAACATGTGGGAACAAATGTTCGCGCGAAGAAAAAAACCGCGGCATAGGCATAGACCCACTATGACCCACTGAAGAATGAAATGCACTTGGTAAGCCAGAACCTGAGGTGCATGATGTCTTTGCAGACCGGTGTTTGTTTGGATCGACCAGGAGGGTCAGGGGTCGCACCGTTGGCGTTCGCAAGTGTTTATCGTGCTTGCGGCATGCATGATCGTCAACGGCAAGAAATTCTGTGTCTTCGGAACAGCCTGCCGGTTTACAAGAGTATCGGCTGGCAACGACGCTGACGTGTGCTCGCAGAAGATGCGGTCATGCGCAGTTTGGCCAGCCTCGATTGCGCAGTTGCCCCGTGGCTCATAGCCACGGTATCAAGTGGCCAACCCGAGTTGCTGCACTTGCGGGTTGATGCTTTTCTGAAACCACCGAAGTTGCTTCTTGTGCGCTGCGCACTTCGGCCGTGTCTGCAACCAGAAGTTTGGCCTTGCTCTGCGGAGGGTTCCGTTGGGTCATGAGGGTGATCACCGGCTTCCTCGATACCCGTGCGAGCCGATGTCCCTCAATATACCCAAGTACGCTCGAGAAGTCCTGTTGCACTTTGCAGAGACTCTAAAGACTTCACGCGTCGCACGGTGGTAGCATGGCCGAATAGATGATCGGCAGCCCTCCGTCAACAAAGCCACCGCTGAGTCGTCCAACAGCCTCGATATGGGCACTGCATCTAAGAAACACAGCATCTAAGCGGCCACATCTTGCAGATGATATTTGTGAATGTTGGTGCGGGCCCGCCAGCCCCTCCGTGCCAGCAGAGCAAACTTTCCGTCTCTCAATGTAAGCAGTAAACATGGGTTGCTCCAAACCCCAGAGCACCCCGCACCGTGGTTGGACGCACGGCTTGGAAGAACCGCATTCCCCCCGCCGCCGAAAGCTGCGCACCGCAGCTGGGCACGGCTTGTTGGTCGACAACAGACGCGCCGCGAGTGCAATAACGGTGGGTGGATACAGATGTGCATTCACTGAGTGCATTCATGCCATTTCATGCCTACAGCATCCTACAGCTGTCCGGAGCAAAGCAGTAGCCAAACGCTGTTTCAGCTGTGGGAACTTCGCATCCCGGATGCGAAGGCAAGAAGGAGTGTGACATAGGGCAGAGGCGCACGGGCACGGGCAGCCTGGTCGGCCCGTTTCTTCTTTTCCTATCCTTGCAGCCACACCACGCCCGGCTCGAACCAGGTTCCATTGGTGCGTAAGCTAAGATTCCTCTTGGTTTCTCAGACAGAGGAGGGAGCAAACCAGAGCGAAAGTGCATTCTTCCTTTTCAGCCTTTCCAAGCATGAGCATTGCGCGAGGAGGTTTGTTGCATTGTTGTGGTCGTTTGGCTTCTTGGACTGCAAGGTCTGCTCCTCTGGATCCTGTTCCTGAAGCTGGTTGATGGCGAGAAAGTGTACACCCTGAAGATCCGATGGCTTTTGCAGCCTTCGAGGGTTTCACCCGTGCCGTAGCAATGAAGCCACAAGTCAGCTCAATGTCGGTGTGGAGGGCCTGCCAAAACCGTCCTTGCCCGAGGGTTTGGACTCATTTGCAAGATAAAGTTCGGCACAAGGTCTTCAGAATATCGCCAGGTGAGACAGAGAAGCCAACGTTGGCGAATGACATGCCCGTTACGAATGTGGCCCGGTTCTCAGTTGCAGCCCGCAGGTTCAGATCATTCTAGCGTGTTAACATGATTCTTTGGCACTCCGTTGTCGTGGAGCGTCCCCAGCGGTGAGGCGTTGGGTCATGTCGATGCCGGCTACGTCCCTCCTGTTGTAGCTTCGTTGCACGAGCAAAGGTGTTGTACTCTATGCGCTACTCGTGTGGCCCCTCCCAGGGCCGCAAGTGAGATGTGACACAATGTGCCCACATCGTGGACTTCTAGCAGGCCAGCCATTCATCGCAGATCCTTTCGCAACAAACATCATGCTGTTACGCTGTGTCGGCAAGGTGAACTTGCGAACTTTCCCAGCAAGACAGGGCCAACCTTCAGGAACCCGCAGTTGCTCCCAGGACCAGTGTTCCTTGTCCTGGCATCATGACGTTACCAGGATGGTTCAACAGCTTCAACATCTTCCAGAAGAGACTTGTGAGCGTCAAGATGTTTGGCGGGGACACAAGCGCCCCTGTGGTGCATCCTCTAGCCGACTGCCAGCAGCAGGCGTACCGTGTGGGAGGTTGTGAGAGAAGTAAGTGCAGCCGGGCCGAGATTCTACGCGCCCGGAGCAGCAGAACAAAGTTGCAGCACCGCAAAGAACGCTTCTGCCACGTCGAGCCGCGCCTTTGTGTGCTCATGCTTGCTGTTGCTGCCAGGAGAGACTGAAGGCTAAGGGCCTCTCCACTGCTGGTGAGCACGAGCAGTCGAGCCGGCTTGTTTTCGTGCCATGCTTATGGCTGTTCAGCCGGCCCTTTGAAGCCCTGCATCGTTAGGGTTTCGATGAAAGGCTGGTCTTCCGACTGACGCAGGCCCAGGCCAAGAGCTCGGATGGACTCAACAAAAACACGCCCCCAAACCCCCCCCCCCCTCATCTCACACGCACACACGCGCACACGCAACATGAAAGGACTGTGGAATGCCCGAGTTGAATCAACCTTTGGAGTTAATGCACTCTCATGCATGTTGCAGTGGTGAGTTGTGGGTTCGTGTACGACCCTAAGCATGGTGATGTGGGCCCATCCTCGCTTCGCCCGAATTCGGCTCAGCTTTGCACCGCGGGGACTAAAGCTCCTGTGCACTGCGGCTGGGCTCGGCAGGCGGTGGGCCACGGGCCCGGTGACAGCACACTGTGACATCGCATGGTGCCTTCTGGGTAGACCCCAGATTCGAAGGGGCATCCCGGTATCCCGCACGAATGATTGTTCGGGTTATGAAAGTGCTGAAGTGCTGAGTGAAGCTCGATTCCACAGAGCTCTCTCATGTTGGTCTCTAGAGGCCGGGATGCCGCTGCGGCTGGACATCAAGAAGAAGCTGTCAGCAAGGCACTTCCCATGGCATGGGAAATTTTGTCAGGGCAAAAGGCACAGCAAGGTATGTTCGTGAGGTATATATATATATATATAAACATATATATTCCTACCAGAGTGCTCCGCAGCATGCTTTTGCAGGAGTGACCGAGTGAAATGCGTTGACTTCCACCCTTCGGAGCCCTGGACACTGTCAGCGCTGTATTCAGGCCGGGCCAGCAAGGTGCTGTCCCCACGACCCCAACACAGGGCAAGTCTTGAAAGGCAACATCTTCATCTGGGACTACAACACGCAGACTTTGGTCAAGCAGTTCGAGGTGCTCCGGATGCCAGTTCCCAAAGATTTTTGGTCACGAAAACCACGTGCCTGAGACTTTCTTGTGACTCCACCTCCGCCCTGCAGAGGTTTGCAACTTGCCGGTGAGATGCGCCAAGTTTGTTACTCGCAAGCAGTGGATCGCTACTGCTTCGGATGACATGCACGTGCGCGGCCTGGAAGAGTCTGCTCACGGAAGCAGCATGTTTGGACCAGGGGGCATGCTTTCCTTTCACTGAGAGCTTATGAAAACACACACCAAGATACGTGTCTTCAACTACAACAGCCTGGAGAAAGCCCATGAGTTCGAGGCGAGATGGGTGATGCGATCCAACTGGGGATGCAGACGAGCCTCACCGAATGTGATGGCCACATGCGCTCCTGCGTTATGCCCAGGCCCACACGGACTACATTCGATACATCGCGGTCCACCCTACCTTGCCGTATCTCCTCTCCTGCTCCGATGACATGTCCATCAAGTCCCGAGCCAAAGTGAAGAAGGGCACAAAGCAGCAGAGGAAGTGTAGATGGCATACGACCATATAGGACCTGCATAGGAGTTCTTCGTGGCAAATCTCTTCTCTCAGGCTGTGGGACTGGGACAAAAACTGGAATAACCTCCAGGCTCCTGGCGTTTGCCCCGAAGCCTTCAACTGTTTCTTTTCCTGTTCTTGGCAATTGTAAAGAGAGCCCACTATGCCTTGCTACTGTCCCTCTGCCTCTGTCCTTTTTGAAGGCCTTCGAAGGGCACGCGCACTACGTGATGATGTGCCAGTGGAACCCCAAGGCGAGTTGTTGGCATCCACCGCGTCCTACTGCGGTTAAGGTCCACTCGTAATCACTCGCAAAGTGCTCGCAGGACACGAACATCTTTGCTTCGTGCTCGCTGGACCGCTCGATCAAGGTCTGGGGTGTGTCCGGTGGAGCAGGCTGGGATGGGAAGCAAGGCCAAGAAAGCAATCAAACACAAGAAAAATCAAGCAGCAATCTTCAGAGCACCTTGTTTTGAACTTGTCTGCATTATCCTCGAAGGTGGAACGAGCAGCTGCCACTTTACCCTCACCGGCCATCAGCGGGGTGTGAACTGTGTTGAGTGCCCGTCGGGTTACAGGTTTTTTTGGGGTTGAGTCGTTTGTTGTAGCACCGCCCATAGGCCCTGATATCCTCCACCCCTCCACCCCTCCCTCTAATGTGGTGGAGGTATTCACCTGGTGGCGAGAAGCCATACATCATCTCAGGGTGCCGGCCTTCAGATCTCAGTGCAGCTCTCGTAGCATGTCTCAGCTGCGGTAGGCAGACGGCATCTGCTCTCCAACCTTAGGTCAGATGATCGGAGCGTCAAGATCTGGGACTACCAGACCAAACAGTGCGCCAGTACAGTGTCTAAGTCTTTGTTGGCGGGCGAAGCATTGGCTTCTATTTCTGTTTGCAGTCTAGATGTCCCGAGCATCACACAGTGGGGCTGTAATGTCGGAAGTGCACATGAAGAGTAGCGGCGAGTAGCATCGCAGGTGCATACAGACTTTGACCGGCCACACCAACAACGTGTCCTATGCCACTGGGCCTCATTGATTGCCCTTCAACCAGCAATACTTTGCTCCAAAGCAAAGCTCGAAGTCGCTGACTTCACCCCATCCCGAAACCAGCCGAACAAGTTCAGGCTCTGTTTCATCCCGCCCTGCCTATCATCCTGACGGGCAGCGAGGACGATCCACCTTGACCGTTTTCAGATGTTTTGAGGAAAAATAACACACGTCAAGCGTCGGATGTAGCACACCGACTTGCAGGGAGATCGGGTGTCCAATTTGCTTCAGGATGGCACTGTGAGGATATGGCACGGGTCCACCTACCGCCTAGAGGCTACCAGAGATGCGAGTCGCAGTCACGGTGTCTAAGTCTCTTGAGCTTGTCGACATGTTTCGTCCATGTTTCCTTTACCCGGGAAGGCAACGTTGAGCTACTTCTTGGAACGTGTGTGGTCCATTGCCGTGCTCAAGGGCTCCAACACCGCTCCTTGGTGCCATCGTCTGCTGTCCTTTATCCTGCAGAAGGACTGCGCAGAACGCTTCAGCTCAGGCTGCTCTGGGATACGATGAGGGTACAGTCGTGATCAAGCTTGGAAGCGAGGCAGCTTCCCGTTGTTTGCAAGTCTCCCGCTTTCATGCATAAGCTGTTGCTTGGTGTCTCTGTTTGCCCGGAAGAGAGCACTTGCAAATACCTTTTCGTCCTGACCTGCTGGCACACCCCATGTTGCCAAAAACTTCTCGCGTTGCACGCGTTGTGTAGCACAAGCAGAGATGTTGCAGGAGCCAGTCGTGTCCATGCACTCGGGCAAGATCATTTGGGTGGAGCCGGCGAGGTCGTTGATCATTTGTTTGGCTTTGGTTTGCGTCGCGCGCCAGGCCAAAGGCAATGAGATCCAAACCGCAAACCTCAAGCTGTTGGACGAGGGTGTGACTGCACGCGAGGGCGAGAAAGTGCCGCTGAGTGTGAAGGATCTGCGGTGCTTAGTGAGACGTGACTGACTAGGCAGAATGATTCGCAAAAAAGCACCCGAGCTGACAATTTGTGATGCAGGACATGGGTGCGGCAGAGGTGTTTCCGCAGTACATAGCGCATCACCCGAACGGTGCGCCATGTTTTCGACGTTGCTTGCGCGTTGCTTGCTCCCGGGCACGCGAGCAGTTGCTGGTTCCTCCTGCCTGCCAGGCCGTCTCTTTGCGGTATGTGGTGATGGCGAGTTCGTGATCTACACGGCCCAGGCCGGGGTGTCCGTGATTAGAGACAGAAAAGTGCAGAGCAATGTCTTCGATGGTGCGCTGTGCCAGGCGCTGCGAAACAAGTCGTATGGTCCGGCGCTAGAGGTGCGGAGCGTCTCTGAGCATCTTCAGTCCGTGAAGTCACCATACTTGCTAGCGGCGGATGTATGAAAAGCAAAGCAGCGGGCATACTTCGGGCAATCCAGGAATCTCTACAACCATGAAGCGTCATGCAACGATGCACAGCATCCCTGCCCTGGAGTTCTGCTGGGCACATTCTGGTGCCTATGCAACTCGGGACGGAAACGGCAAGATCACGGTCTTCCAGGACAGTCCCGCTTCTAGAGGAGTTTTTCTCCTGCAAGCTTGGGTGATCTGCAAGGGTCAAGACGGTCAAGACCTGCCACAGGACTTTAAGGAGAGCTTCTCCTTCAAGCCTCCGTTTACGGTAGAAGAGACTTACGGAGGCAGGCGCCGTGGAGCATGGAAGTAGGAATCCGAAAGACTCCAAGGAAACAGGTAATAATAGTAATACTTACTATTATGATTGGTATTGTTCCTATTACTATGGTGATTATAATTATGATTGATATTATTGACGGCCTTTACGTGCTAGACAGGCCGCCTGCTCGGCGTCCGCGGCGGGGACTTCATTTGCTTTTACGACTGGACGGAGCGGCAGCCTTGGGGATCCTGAAAGAAGGTATCGCGGTTTAGGGTTTAGGGTTTAGGGTTTAGGGTTTAGGGTTTATCAAGAAGGAAGGTTGAGTGGAGGTTGCCTTTAGGTCCTTGCAGCTTGCAGATCCTCTGTCGAGGTATCGGCTCATTCGCCGCATTGACGTGGTGCCCAAGGATGTGATTTGGTCGGGTGCCTGGGAAGTAGAGCCTAGGGATGTCATGGGATGTCAGGACGTGGCAGACCTGAGTGCTGCTCTTTGGGGGGCACGTTGCAACACCCTGTTGTGCAAAAAACCGTTGTGAACCCAGGGCTGCGGCGAGGTGGCTTGGGTTTAGGTGTGGGGATGTGAGGGTGTGGCCCTTCCCTGATTCACACCGTCCGGGCATGTCCTGATCCGCGCTGCTGATTCATGCTACGGGTTCTCGACTTCCCCTAAACCCTAAACCCTAAACCCTAAATCTTAAACCCTAAACCCTAAAAACCCTAGGGTAGGGGCGAAGCTCCAACGTGATCTGGAGTGTTCGGAAGGTCCGAGGAGGGCAGCTCCGTCGTGCTCATTTGCCCCGACTCCTTTTACGTGCTCAGGCCCATTGCAGATGGTTTAGGGTTTAGGTTTTAGGGTTTGGGGTTTAGGGTTTAGGGGACAGTCCTCTAGATTATGGTCCCTTCAAGCTTTACATTTTCAGTCCTAGGGTACCCCAACAAAGACCATGACATAGAGAACTGCCCGCCACGGGGTAGGTTGGTTGCAGCCGCTTTGATACGGTATGGTTGCTGCCAGGCATGACAAAGACGCCGTGCAGGCGAGCCTGATCTCTGGCGGCCAGGTGGACGAGGCACGTGCAATGCAACTATCTGCAAGACCCAGCATGAAGTGGAACAACGATGCATGTAAACACAACCGCGACCAGAGCCACATACAAACGGCTACGTGAACGAACCGACGTAAGGTAACATGGCGAGAACTATATATAGTTCTTGAAGTGTACAAAAACGGATATATAGCTCCCTGTTATGGCAACCTCCAGTGAAGTTTACCTACACTGCGAAACAACAAAATTCTGATTGTTTGGATTGCTTCGCACCCCCTTTACTGAAATCCTTGGATACAGTACTGAAGCCAACAGTGTCAACAACACATCCCACATATTTGTTAAGAGGCCCTTTGCATTGAAAAAGCCAGTGGCGTTCTGAATCCCTGAGCGAAAGAAGTTTCTCAATCCCAATATAGCTTACCGCCAGGCGTCCTTACTAGAGCTCTCTCTGTGTCCTTTTCTCGCAAACTGTCGCAACATGCCGTTCAACTATTTGAGATGGCATCCGGGACCTCAGAATTAGGTTGCCCCTCCCGCATTCACCCAAGTACTGAAAGACACTGGGACACGTGTTGGGGTGTTTAGGGTTCTGGTTTTCGGGTCTAGAGGGATACTAGAATAGTAACACTACTTACGACTGCCTAACTTCCTAAATTCAGAGCATGCGCCGTGTATGTATATACCTATATATATGTATGTATGTATATATATATATATACACATATTTCTATCATGCACATATGAAGCGCACTATGCGGCGACCAGCCGAAGTCCTTGGTTATGGGCTTGTTGTGACAGGACGGTATCGAGGCAGCTTTTGACCTGCAGCATGAGATCAATGACAAGGCGCCTCCTTGCCGAAGGGACGGATGCCAAGCCCTATATGTAAGCCCCAAAACCCAAACATTAAACCCTAAACCCTAAACCCTAAACCCTAAACCCTCAACCCTCAACCCTCAACCCTCAACCCTAAACCCTAAACCCTAAACCCTAAACCCTAAACCCTAAACCCAAACCCTAAGCCCTAAAACTTTTACTGATGGAGTCTATCTGCCCGCTGCCGGAGGTGGTCAGCGGGCTTTGGGTCGGGGACTGCTTTGCCACGGCCTCAACCTAACAGAGAACCGAGCAGAGGGCCATGAGACGGTGGATCTAAGTCCAGCACAGTCCCTGAAACGCCCTGTTTGGGTAGCAGCTATGGGGATTTGCACCAAGCTGCTTGGTAATCTACGTATCTCGTTGTGCGTTGTTGAAGAGCTTAGGCTCCTGATCTCTTAGGAGATGGGAGCACAGAGCAGTGAACTCGCTATGCCACCTGTGGTGGCTCAAGGTGCACCGCGTAGCTTGCTGAGGTGAACGGAAAACATGTCCTCTGACATATGCTTGACAACAGACATGGATGTAATTGACCTTCCCTTACTTTATCCCACTTTGGAGATATCCTTTCAGCTGGTGCGGCTTCTTGGCACTTACCTTTTACTCAGGATAGCTGATATCTTGGGTAGTGCTGTCTGCCATTCAACATGGCAGCGGAGCTCTGAGGATGCTTTGCTTGAGCCTTCGATCCAGGGCGGCACACAGCACGACGAGAGTTTCGACTACGCGACCATGGACATCAACAAGGACGATGACAAACGCGGCGTTCCACAGTTCAGCGGCAAGCTAGACGAGTACAGAGACTACAGGAAGAGAGCCCTCCTTTACTTCAATAGTCTAGAAGACTCCAAACAGAATCTGGCGGCACCACGGTTAATCTCGAGCCTCAGCGGGGCAGCCTTCGAGTGCTTCCGGGAACGGGACCCGGCGGAGTTCAGAACAGATCGTGGTGTGGCCCAGCTTCTGGCGATACTCGACGAGCGCTTCCAGTTCACTCCTGAGCAGGAGCTTTCAGATAAACTTGAAGATTTGCTATTTCGGTTGCGCCGCCGCCGTGGCGAAGAGTCCACTTCCTTCGTGACCAGATTCGAGACTGCCCTAGCAAAGGTAGAAGAACTGATCACGGAAGAACAGCGAGTTGAGAGACGCCGACAGGGTGACTTGATGAGGTCCGAGTTCCGTAGGGCCAGCCTGGATTTCATCGTCGCTCAACAGCAACATCAAGCCACGGTCGCAGCTTTGCCGGAAGGAGCAGAGGCCCCAGCCGAACCGTTAGCACCTACTCCGCCCCGAGAACTTCCCCAAGTCCAGACTTTCAGATTCCCCGAGGTGGTCAAGGGCTTCATATTCCTCAGGCACATTGGCATTTCACTTCAAACCAGAGCATCGTTGCTTAGGTCAAGCGGTGGCTCCCTGCGCTATGACAAGGTTGCAGACCTGCTTAGGCGTACCGAGCTGGATGCCTTGGTTGCTAGCCGTTCGCAGGTAACCAGCCACGGCTTCTTTGCGGATGTGCCTGAGGAGGATGATCCCTATGAGGAGTCGCCCTTTGAAGTCGACGACGAATACGAGCCCGAGGAGGAGTTTGGTGCGTATGCTGAAGGCGAGGAGTCGGAGTTTACCGAGGAGACCCTTGAAGAAGAGGAGGGCGACGGTGAAGAGTACAGTGTGGCGATGATGGGCTACCTTGAGGCCCGCAAGAAGCTTTTGAGCTTGAAGAAGGCGAGGGGGTTCAAAGAGCCCGGAGAAGGGGCCGCACACCCCAAGGGCGGCCAAAGTGGCGGCGACAGAGATCGGCGTGAGCATCGAGACCGACGAGAACACCGAGATCGGGACCGTGGCCGGCCATCAACGCCAGCTGGCGGCGATGAACTTTCCTCCGGCCCTCTCAAGCGGGGGGATAAACGCTGGCGTCGAAGGCAGGATTTCAGCTGGAAGGACAGAGAACAGCCTCGTTCCAGCCAGCGGCCCTCGGCGACTCGACGGCCGCGAACACCGCCGCCTACCCGAAGGAGCAAGGGCGCTGGCAAGGGCAAGTCAAAGGGGAAGAGCAGTCGCTCTTCTGGCCATGCGAGGCGGGGTGAGCCACCAGGATCGCAGTACCTCGGCATGGCCATCACTGAGCCTCGCCAGGAATTTCGCTTTGTCCCTGAGTTCAGCTATGTGGCCTACCACGCAGAGCGATCGACGCCGTCTTCTTTGAGTTCCAAACCGAGAACCACTCCGGAGTTCTCCTTTGTGTCTCGGCAGTCCATCAGCCAACTCGAGCATTTTGTAGAAGAATGTTTGACTTTGGATCGGCTTCTGGGTCTTGAGCCAAAGTGTCCGGAAGGTTCTGAGTCATGCTGTCTGGTAACTCCACCTGGATATGCCATTCTCGACACAGGTTGCACTTCCACTTTAGTTGGGGATGAGAATGAGCGTTTGTGGAGTGAAGAGCTTAAGAAGCAAACAGGTGGAGCCTTAAAGCCGGAGCAGGGTGATTCAGACATAAAGTTTGAGGGCATCAATGGCGAAACCAAAGCCACCTATCGGGTAAAGTATCCTGTGAAAATCGGCCCGAGGGATGGTTTCATTCAGGCTGCGGTCATTCCAGGGAAGGCCCCCTTCCTCCTTTCTATCCAGGCCTTGCGGGCCATGCAAGCTAAGCTAGACTGTGCAAACGATGTACTTGAAGTACCTGGCATAGGGAAGGTGCCACTGGAGACCAATGCCGTAGGCCATTACCTCCTGCCCCTCCTCGACTTTTCCTCTGGACACGCCTTCGCCTCAGCCGAGGCGGGATTTGGTCCGGACAGCGAGCTGATCGTAGACGAAGCTGTTACCAGGCCTGAATCGGTTGTCGTAAATGGTCCTCCAGGGTTAGATGTAGCGGGGGGACTAGGGGAAACAGCCACAGCTCTTGATCCGGACCAAAGCCCAGACATCGCTGAATCCGAAGTCCAGCATGTTCCCAGATACAACGCCATTAAGGGTCGATCAGACGGGTATGCCATAGGAGCCCTTGTTCGTTTAGCCAAGGAGACTAAGGGGCCCTGGGTAGATATCCCGAAAGAAACTCCCACGTTGTACCTCATCATGGGTAAACATGCGTTTAGTGCAGATCGGAAGCCTTGGCAGGTGAAAGCAGCACAGATCGGGTACCGAGCCAAAATTTTTCGAAAGCCCCCATCGCACCTACAGGGTGCTTGGGTCCTGGTCATGTCTCTTGTAGATCGGTGCCTGAAGGTGCTCATTGACTGGACAGAGTGTGAGCGTTGTGCAGGGAGATCATTGCCTCCAACTGGTGATGCGTCTTCGAAGTTTCTTTTTGTTTATGCAATTCCACCTGCCAAGGATTCTCCAGTACCGAAGTCAAAAGTAGAATGCGAACCATCCTCTGTTTCTGTGTCGCAAGTTACTGCTGAAGCTTTTGTTGCAGCATGTTCACTTGAAGATTTGCACGCAGGAACAGCTGATGTTGAGCGCAATCCCAAGCCCCAGCATTGTAGTGAGTTAGCGGACTCTGAGTCCTTTGTCAGCTGTGATGAGTCAGACGAAGCTCTGCGCGTGCCTTCTCAAACCAGACGGCCTTCAACCGCCGCAGTATGCTCACTGCAGCCCTCACATGATCGAGTCGTACGGCAATGCGTCAGGGAACACGTACCATTGCAGTCACTGCCGCACGAAGTGCAGGGATTGCAAGGGAAGACTGGCTCGAGTTGTGAGGGCCACCGGAGAGATTCAATATGCGTACCGCAAGGACTGTGCCGTGACGCCCATTCCTGGACCATCGACCTTTACCGTCCTCGCCGACGGAGATTTGGTGGAGTCAGAAGGCGCTCCCGAGGCTTTGGACAAGAAGGGCACCGTCACATATCCATTCAATGTCCGGAAGATTGCGTTGCACTCAGAGAAATTGAAGGCCCTACGAGAGAAGGACCAGAGAGCTTCCGAATATGCTCTGGAGATAGCGACTCAGAACCAGGCGCCAGTGCAGCAGGAAGTCAAGAGCTTGAAGACGAGTGGAGTCTTGACTGGACAAGCCTCGACAGGCCCGCCTGCCGGCTATCCCAGGGCTCCACTCCCTGCAGCAACAGCGCCGTTCAGTCATCCCAGGGCATCGCCGTCAGTGGTGCCAGCATCCTCAAGCACACCGCCCCAGATGGAGAGCATCATGTCGGCCGTCAGGGAGATGCTGGCCACAGAGTATGCCGCCACGCCACAGAAACCGGACGTAAAGATGGAGGACGAGAAGTCCATTGTCTCCCACATCAAGGAGCTGGAAGAGCAGGCTGCGGAGCTGATGACGCGAGCAGCGTACCTGAGGCAACAGATCGGCCTGCCAGCGCATCATTTCTTCACGGGGGTGACACAGTCAGCTCCAAGCCAGGGCAGCCAGGGAATGCCGAAGGCCGTGGCCAGCCCTCAGTGGCCAGAAGCCGGCCCTTCCCCTATGGGAGATCCCGATGCTGGCGATACCTGGGAGGTGTTGCGGCTGCGTTGACAGCGCAAGTCTTGCCTGAGGTGTTGCCGTCTGTGAAAGTAGAGGTTTCTGTTGACGAGGTTGTGACTAGTGACTGGCCTAGAGTTTCCCCGGAAGTACCCGTAGGCGAGTTAGAGCCACAGCCTAGACTCGAACTACCCCAGGCATGGAAAGCCACAAACCTCAACCTTGATCAGAAAGCAACCCGTGCTCAGCTGAGAGAATGGCTGGGTCCACAGGCGTGGAAGCTAGATCGTGGGGTTGAGGTAGGCCTGATTGAAGTGTTTGCCGGTAGAGCTAGGCTCAGCGAGGAGTTTGAGTCAGCCGGTGGAACTGCCATTCGTCTAGGCCGTGCGTGGGGACAGGAACTCCAAGGAGAGGAAGCCCGTTGGTACGTAAGATCACTTGTGAGTCTAGTACGGCCAAGAGATGTTTTCATAGCATTTCCCTGTCGGTCCTACTGTCGATGGAGTGGGCTGAACGAGCAGAGGTCTTTAGGCGCTAGACAGAAGATCTTGCGAGAAATATTGGCTTCCCGATCCAATTGGGATATGCTCTTTGAAGTGCTTGAGTGTCAGAGCGCCAATGGAAGACATTGTAGTGCTGAGAATCCGAAGGGTTCCTTAGCGTGGGATGACAGGCGATTTCAGAAACTTAAGTGCCGTCATTTCTATGCTTCGTTCCATCAGTGCGCTTTGGGGCTCAGGCATCCCCGCACAGGTGTGCCAGTCCGCAAGAGCACAACCATCTTCACTACCAGAAGGGAGTTGGCTGGTCATATGCAGCAGTATCGGTGTAAATGCCGGGGATCGCATGATCAGCTAGCGGGTAGTTTCATGGGTAGGTCCGTAACCTCTTGGGCCGAGGACTATCCAAAGAAGATGGCCCGAGCGCTTGTGACAGGCATGTCAGCGCCCCGACCTCCCAGTTTCGGCCAAACTGTGCAGGAAGGGGTGCCTTATGAAACTAGCGTGCCACGATTTCAAGAAAGGATTGGGCATCCGAAGGTAGTTCCAGTAGGTTTCTTTGCCGGAGGAATTCGCGACGCAGCTTTCCCAGTAAGCCCTGGTGAACCTACGGTATTCAAAGTGACAGACACCGAGATGACTAAGCAGTTGAATGCACTTCAGTTCCCTGGTAGATACCGTCGAGCTGACTTGCCAGTCCCGGTGCAGGCACAGCTGAGGGTCTGGAGTGGACTCGAGGTAGACACAGTAACAACTGGAAAATCATTGAAGTGCTATGCTAACCTTCCGACTGGCGTTGTAGCGACCAGGCGAACGACAGTTGCTCGGGTAGCGGGGGAATGGTACTATGTAGATCATTGTCATGAAATGCAAGGAACCAAAAGACTCCGATTGCCTGTGAATTGCCAACTGCTAGTGACATTCTTTGGAGATAAGCCCTCACCAAATGAGCCTGTAGCTGCAGAGACACAGCCTGTTATTAAACCTGTGCCGGGTTTGCAAAGTGTCAGTGATCAACGCAAAGTGAGGGAGTATCTCCAAAGACTGCACGTTGGCCTTGGCCACTGTGGACGAGCCGAGTTCCTGCAACATTTAAAGGATGCTGGAGCAGCAACATGGCTGTTGCGCCAAGCTTCACAGTTCACATGCTCTCTTTGTGAAGCCCAACGAGCGCCAGATGCACATGCAGTGGTAGGTTCAGCCCGTCCGCGCAGTTTTAACTCTGTAGTGAGCATCGATACGCTAGATCTGACAGTCGAGCGTGACTCAGTGCAGCATCGCGTGTTCTCGTTGACAGCAGTAGATACTGCAACATCGTATGCGAGAGTTTTTGCACTAGAGGCGGGAGATAGCGCCACTGCGATTCGGCAGCTTGAGCAGGGCTGGGTTCTACCGTACGGGGCTCCAGAATGTATCTTTTGTGATCCAGACACCATTTTCAGAAGTGATCAATTTGGCCAGTTCTTAGCCCGACATTCAATGCTTCAACGTCTTAGCGCTGCTCAAGCACCGTACCAACACGGCCAGATAGAACGACTGCACCGCACGCTGAGATTGCAAGTCCAGAAGGTGTTCTTGGAGGATCGTTCTTGCACACCTTTCGAAGCGGCCACAGCAGTCATTCAAGCCCGCAATGAGCTGATGAGAGTTGAGGGAGTGTCCCCGGCAGTTTTGGTGTTCGGTAAGCTTCCTAAAGCGCCGCCCAGTTTCGCTGAAGCGGATGAGGATTATCAGTTGCTTGCAGAGAGATTGCATCGTGAAGATCCCTTGTACGAAACTCTCATGCTCAGACGTGTGGCGGCCCGGACGGCCTGGGTTCAAAGTGAGGTCAGAGACCGCGCGGCGCGAGTTTCCAGTACCAGGCCCAGGCCCTACAAAGGTCCGTACTACAAGGGTCAGGTCGTGTTGGTATACCGCCGGCGCAAAGGTGATGCAGCAAGTCCAGGGCAGAAAGGTGTTTGGCTGGGTCCCGGAGAGGTCGTAGCGGTTGAGAGTACCTCGGACAAGTTGGTCCCCCGTGTAATTTACGTAACGGTTCATGGACGTTTGTTTCTGTGTAGCCCTGAGCAGTTGCGTCCAGTAAGCGTGAAGGCTGAATGGGTCCGCGCGCAGCTGCAGAAGGGGCAATCCCTGCAGTCTTCCTTTCAGGACATGCGCCTAGCCCGGGCTCGCACCGTCCGCGCCGCTAGTTCCACCGCTGCAGTTGCCAACACCAGCTGGCGGCGATGAACTTTCCTCCGGCCCTCTCAAGCGGGGGGATAAACGCCCTCATGGGGAGCACTCCGATTTGGAGCTGGAAGACCAGCACCGCGCAGAGCTGGGCCCTGGCGCTCGTCCTCTGATGGAGGCGCCGCCGCCTGCGGCAGTGTCTCCTGCTGTTCTTCGGAGTACCGAGGCGAGCAGCTCGGAGGTAAGACACCGTAGCCGCACTCCAATTCGAAATCCTCCACCGCGGGAAACAAGTCTCTGGGCATTCGCAGACTTTGAAGGGGGCGCGGCGGATCATGTTGCTGACGCGTGGTATAATGAGTCTTGTGAGCATGATTATGTTGGAATGTCGGTAGGCTTGGAATTTGACGTTGAGCTTAGCGAACTGGAGAGTGATGAGTCAATCGTACACATAGTGAGGGAGATGTGTTTCAATGCGGCAGCAGCTCAGAAACGCAAGGCTGAGGTCAGCGAGCGTCATTTGACGTCCACTGAAAAAGAGATGTTTAGGCAAGCTAAGCGGGCCGAGTGGTCACAGTGGATTTCCAATGACGTCGTTGAACTTTTGAGCAGGCGAGGGATTGACCCGAAGCGCGTCATAAGCAGTCGCTGGATCCTGACCTGGAAGAATGTAGGGGATCAACCGAATGGTGAGAAGCGTCCGAAAGCTAGGTTAGTAATTAGGGGTTTTAAGGATCCAGATTTGGGTCAGTACTCTACAGCTTCACCTACATTATCCAGGCAGGGTCGGCATGCGATTCTCACTCTGGCCGCTCATCATCAGTATCGACTGTTTACTCTGGATGCTAAGACAGCTTTCTTGGCAGGGGACAGGTCTTCAAGGGTTAAGCCAATCTATGCTGAGCTGCCACGAGACTTGGTTTCAGATCAGGGGTACGACGAGGATACTATCGCCAGAATAAAGAAAGTACCTTATGGATTAAGTGAAGCACCGCTGGCGTGGTATCGTCGTCTTACCGCTGAACTAGAAACGTGTGGGTTCGAGCAGGTTCCAGCTGATAGATGTGTTTATGTCCTTAGAGATAAGAAAGATCGAAGTAGAGTTTTGGGCCTAGTTGGGGCTCACGTAGATGATCTGTTAATTGCTGGTTGTTCTGCCAGTGTAGATCCACAGTTTGAAGCAGCGCTGCAGAAGCTAGTTGCTAGACTCCCTTTCGGTGAGCGCAAGTATGCAGATGTCGCTCCTGTTCTTTACACTGGGCTAAATCTACGCCAGCACCCCCTAAGTCGGACCATTACTGTAGACCAGGCGCACTACGTAGAGAAGTTGCGTGAAACGCCGGTGAAGCCCCTGAAGGATGGCCTTCTAGATAAGGCAGGTCAAACCCAGTTCTGGTCACAACTAGGCGCTTTGCTGTGGGTTGCCGTTAACACCAGACCGGATGTAGCCTATGACGTCAGTCACTATGCCTCATACGGTACACGTCCTGAAAAGCAACACATCGTAGCTCTGAATAAGATTGTCCGCACCCTCAAGGCACAACCCTACTCTTTGACCTTCCAGAAAGTAGCGCAGAATTGGACTGATTTAGCATTGGTCGTGTTCACGGATGCGGGTCATACGAGTAGGCCGTCGGGTCATAGTCAAGCGGGGGCTCTGATGTTTTGGGCGCCTAAGTCGGTTCTGAAGGGTGACATGGTAAAGTCTGTGTTGGCCGATTTCACCAGCTCTAAGATAGATCGTGCAGTTTGGTCCTCGTACGCTAGCGAACTCCAGGGTGCCACGATAGCTGCGGACTCATCCGTATCCTTGCTACTATTGTACGAGCAAGTCATGTATGGCCTGAGAGCCCGTGAGGTAAAACAGAAACTACTTCAAAAGGGGCAACATCGTATAATCGTGACGGATAACAAGGGATTATATGACAGCATTAGGACAGAGAAACCTTCAACCAGACAGGGGCAGAAGATGCAAAGCTTGGTGTATCAGATACTGTATGACTTGGTTGTAGACCATGGTTTCTCAACGTACTGGGTAAATGCTGAACATATGATCGCGGACGGACTAACCAAGCTAAGTAGTTCCGGAGGCCGCGTCGACCTTGTGCGAGAGGTCATGGACACATGCCATATCCGCATCACGTATTGCACCAAATCAGGTAGAAAGGAAAAGCAAGCTACGCAACAGTTGCACCCTAACGAACCTGAGTCCAGGAACTTGGAGTCATCGATAGATGTTTAAGGGTTTCAGGGATTGATGGTTCGTGGTGTTTGTTTTGTTACGATGCCCAATCTTATGTACAGTGGCCGGACGTGCGAAGCACCCTTTCTCTGGTGATCTGCGGTTGAAGGTTATGATAGGAGTATGCAACCGCATTTTGGGCTCAGTATTTCCGAGTAACTGCCGTGTGCGCCCATCGCGGGGGTGTTGAAGAGCTTAGGCTCCTGATCTCTTAGGAGATGGGAGCACAGAGCAGTGAACTCGCTATGCCACCTGTGGTGGCTCAAGGTGCACCGCGTAGCTTGCTGAGGTGAACGGAAAACATGTCCTCTGACATATGCTTGACAACAGACATGGATGTAATTGACCTTCCCTTACTTTATCCCACTTTGGAGATATCCTTTCAGCTGGTGCGGCTTCTTGGCACTTACCTTTTACTCAGGATAGCTGATATCTTGGGTAGTGCTGTCTGCCATTCAACATGCGTCCTGGCCCTTCTTTAACCCCAGCAAACTGCAAGCAAGGTGTACGTCTCTCATGCTCAGCGGCTGACATGTTTGGTCGCGGGCTCGCAGGACCCACACGGATCTGGATGTAGATTGACGGCCTTACCCAGGCTCCCCTAAACCCTAAACCCAAAACCCTAAACCCTAAACCCTAAACTTCTTAAGCCTTGGCCTTGGGATTGTGATCATTTCTGGCGTCGATATGGGGCAGCACAGACCGTCAAACTCCCAAATCCGATGCTGACTCCTGAGTCCCCAAGTGCTGCATCTGGCACCCGGAAGCCGCCCTCACCCCACAAAAATCCAAGGTCAGTGCTGCTTTGGACTTCGGCGGTTTCTGGGTTCAGGGTTCTGTACCTCAGTTTCAGAACTGACAAAGCCGCAAAAGTTTCAACATTTTCCTCAACTTCAAACACTAAGCAAGAAAAGTTTTCCTTCCAGACAAAGGAATCCTGATAGTACAAGCTTCATGTGTGTGTGTGTGTGTGTGTGTGTGTGTGTGTGTGTGTGTGTGTGTGTGTGTGTGTGTGTGTGTGTGTGTGTGTGTGTGTGTGTGTGTGGTAGAGTATTTGGGTTTACGGCTTAGGTACTTAGACGAATCAGGAACCCCCGGAACGCTTAAGCTCCCAACCCTATCTTCGATGCTGGGCGCCTGCTGCAGGAGACCCTGGCACATCTAGATCGCCTGCAGTGCGCTCGTTCGGGCTCTCCGTGTGCATCTGATTTCTAGTCTTCCGATTGACGAGGTTTGAGCCTCTCCGTGAGTTGTCTGAGTCGTGGCTTTCCTGTGGTGAGGGTGCACAAAGGGCCTCCGTATACCCATGCTCGCAACGATTTCCCTGCTGGTTGGCCTCTTCTCAACTTTCCAAGCTTGTGGCGGTTGTAGTGCAGTTTTAGAAGGGTACTCTCTTTCTTGGGCGCCAGGTACTTGCTGGGGTACATGCCCGAGCAATCAAAGCTGTATCTCATCGACAAGGAGCTCAATGCCGGCCCCTTTGTTCAGTGTCCAGCGCCGCTCACCGAAGAGCCAGCAGTGTCTCAGGTGACTCCCTACACCTTGCACATGGCCCTTATAGAGTACCAGTCGGCCATCATGCGGAAGGAAGTGGCGCCATGAATCGCTGGGATCGAGACTCTCACTGACCCAGTTTAGGGTTTAGGGTTTAGGGTTTAGGGTGACAGTCTGACAGGACTTTCCGGCAGCGGAAGGCTTCTTTTCCCAGCTGCCTGAGCAGGGGGGCTCAGCATTGTCATCTTGAGACATTGCAGAACATCATACGGGGGCTTACGATGTTCGCGGTACCTTATTGGGCTCCTTCTGATAAGGGTATCCTACTATTTGGGGCTTACGTTGGGGGTCCCTTCTGATCGTAAACCCCCATGTATGAAAGCACCATCTGCTTCCGATGCGTCCTCAAGCTTGAGAGCCCATAGGTCGCTACACAATCGAATCGCCCGCTTCCTGGAGAACCAGGGCTACCAGGCCGAGGCGCTGCAGATCTCCAAGGCCCGTAGGACGTAGGCAACTGCATTTGCTTGCCCTTGTCTTCATTGCGGCTTTGTTGTTCACCCTAGACCCTAGACCCTAGACCCTAGACCCTAGACCCTAAACCCTAAACCCGAAACAAGCCCTAAACCCCAAACCCTTATCTCTAAACAAGCCCTAAACAAGCCCTGAACCCTGAACTCTGAACCCAGAACTCTGAACCCAGTCGCGAGCCGCGATGCAGGATGACGAGCATCGCTTCGAGCTAGCTACGCAGCTGGGGAAGCTCCAGATGGCTGCAGACATCATCGTGAGCATCACGGCCCAGGCCTGCGGGCTCTCGCCCTCGCGTCCGAAACACCCTGAGGCCCGAAGCCCCTGTAAGCGCCTGAGCCCCTAAGCCCCTAAGCCCCTGAGCCAGCCCTACCCCCCCCAAGCCCTAAGCCCCGAAAACCCTAAATCACTAAGCCCCGAAAGCCCCGAAGCCCTCCAAGCCCCGAAGCCCCCCAAGCCGTGAACAGCCCGGTCGTCATGCTGGAGGCCAATCCAGGGATGCCGCCTCGTGGCAAGTGGAAGAACCTTGGAGATGTGGCTCTGGAACAAGGCCGCCGTGCTTCTCATCGGCTTTTAAGTGGACAGTATCGGTTCTTGCTGAGAAGTTGCTGCATCTGCTGCGTGGGTGGACAGCCTCTGCGAGAGAGAACTGCTGGCGAGGTGACTTCACGCTGGCAAAACGGTGCTTCAGTGAAGCAAAGGCGAGCCATTCTGATTCACAGAAGCCGCTGGAAGAGCATCTGCAACTTCTCTGGCGCAGGACCTTGGGGCCCTCTTCCTCCTGTACACATCGGTCGGTGATGCGGAAGGCGTCCTCTCCACCGGTAAGCTCGCCCAGGACCCTATGGGTTAGCGATGTACAGCCGGCCGCGCGGCGCAGATAGTTTTTTCACCTGAAGGAGAGCAACATTAGCAACATCTCCGTGCTGTGCTACTTGCTGCTCGGAGACACCAAGAGTGCCCTGGAGGCCTGCGACCCCATCCCCACCTTCGTTTTCCTCGATTCCTGTCGGCAGGTTCTCGTCAACGCGAACCGCTTGCCTGAGGCGTGCCGACTCGCTTTGGCAGTTTTCATTCTAGGGCCTTCTTTGTAAGTGCATTCGGCCAGGCAGCGTTTTTCGCACGGACGTATTGTCCAAGCGAACTGTCCAGAGTTGCCAGTGCCTCTGACATCTTGGCGTGGACCAGATTCAGCACTCCATCTGCTGCCGGTAATTGTGCCACTGAGGTGCAGATTTGGACAGCAGACTTGGCAAAGGTCAACCAGGCAAGTGCTTGTCAGAATTCCAGGAGAAGCGCTTTTCGAAGTTGGGGTTTCTTGGATCTGTCACCAGAACCACGATACATGAAACGGAGTACAAGAACACGAATTAGTCTTTGCGCATGCAGGCTGTGGCTGACTCCCTCGCAGATCCTTCCAAGTGCAGCACCTAGTGATCTAACGCGTCAGCGGCAATGCATCCAGATGGCGCGGCCAGCGCCGTTCTTCTCGAAGCTGTGTATCAATGTATCAAGTGATCCCCTTACCTAAGTTGCTGGCTGAGGGGCTTGTTGTTTGTTGCTTGACCAAGGTTTCCAGACCTTTTCCAGGACTTTGACTTAACTCTCGCGGCGGAGAACGCATTTGAAGCCCCCCGCTTATCTATTCGAGTTGTGGGCTTTGGGTTGACTCATCCATTCATGTGAATGCGACGTGCATTCTTCAGGCAAGGAGAAAAAATCCTCCTCCTGCTTCTGCTTACGCGACAGCAGCGGCCTTGGCATATTCTTCAGAGGCTCTGCTTTCCCGGGCGGGTCCCAATTTTTCCTTGTGTGAGGAGAAGGAGATTCTGGAGATGGATGTCATGGAGGAGCTCAAGAAGTTGGGCCGTGGCCTAAGGTTGTCAGATGTTTGATTGTGCTCCGCACAAGTACCGAGCAAAATGTTACCAAGTTTTGCCCAAAATGTTTTGGAAAAAGTTAGCGACTTTGGTCGAAAAAGAGCCCAAAAATGTTGGACAGAAAGTTGTCAAAAGTTGGTAACTTTTTCCAAAAGTTTGTGCGCGTTTTGACCAATGATTTCCAGGTTGTTTTTCCACTTTTTGGAAACATGTCATTTTTTCCAAGTCAGTGGCCTCCCGACGATGTTTGCGGCTCGCAGGTCCTGACGGCTTCCAGAAGATGCTCACGAAAGGCGGCTCATGGCGGTTCCCAAACAAGAGGGAAAGCAGTTTTCGAGTGTGGGGAAGGTTATCGTACATCATGTGCCGCCTTGCTTGGTCAGGAGGCGGGCCTGCAGATTTTGCGCCAGCCCCTCGCGTTCAACCAGCGGCGGCACCAGCTGCAGCGCCTGTCGCAGCGCCGGTTGCGGCGCCAGCTGCGGCGCCAGCGCCGCAGCCGGAACCGCAGCCGGATCTCATTGTGCGGGAGCCTCCGCCCATCATCCAGCTTGAGATTCAGATAGATTCAGCATCCTCCTCCTGATGCATGTGTTTAAGGCCTGAGCCCGTGCCTGTCATGCCGGCTCCGGCGCAGTGCCGCTTACACGCTTTTTTGCCACCTTTCATGCAGACAGTCCTCTAGTGTCATTGAGTAGGCTGGTTCGCCAGGTCCGCCCCAGAGACCATAGTGGAGTCCTCTTCACCTGAACTGCTGGTGCACAGCCAAGAATGAGCATGCGTTCGTGATGTCCACAGTTTCCCGTGGCTGGAACTTCCTCCAATCGTTTGGGCCATAGAAAACTTGATTTTTCTGCTATCATCTACTTTCCGTCGAAGCGCGATCTTGCTGCGGCCAAGTAGACCGAGGTGCCGGATGCCGCTGTGCCAGCACCAGCAGCCTTCCCAGTGTAGTTGCAGCGACGCCAACGTATGATTGACCGGCCCACAAGACCATGCCCCTGATGTCGTAGCCAAGGAATCTGCCGGCGGAGAAGCTCCAGCACCCGAGCCTCCTTGGCATGTTGCCGGGTTCAGTCCAGCCTCAAGGGACCCAGGGGTTTGATTGTGGTCGAGGGTTGAGGATCCATCGCAGCCCAACGCCCCCCAGCACCCGATCTTCACACTTTTCACGGCCAGGCAGAGTGGCGGGGGAGCTGCAGAGATGCCAGACCTCCTTTAGGACCGATGCCCTTGTGCATGGCGCGCAAGGATTTAAAAACCTTAGAGCCCTTCTTGGGCCCTCTAAACCCCTTGGGCCCCCACACTCTGCAATTGCCTTGCCTTTGTAGGAACGATCTCTGAGCCTCCGGGCGTAGATTGCTCCAGTGGTCACCTCCACCAGTAGGAGATGGGTGCAGCCCGCTTGCTGAGCAATCATTGATAGTCCAGACTCGAGGCCCGAGTGGCGTTGAACACGAGCCCGAAGCCAGGTGGGTTTGTCTGCCTTGAAGGTCCAGCGTGCGAGCGTTGAACTATGTCAAGTTGTCAAGCGTCTTGCCCTATGCAGCACCTGTCTAGTTTGATAACTAGATGGGCTGTCCGACGAGATCGCAACTGCCGCGCTGGCAAAAGGTCGAGCAGCTGCCAAAGTTCAGAAGGAGCTGCCAAATTTTGACACAGCCTCCCAAACAAGCCCTGAAGCCCAAAACCCCGGACAATGATGTTGTTGTCCACGTCAGATGCCATCAAACTTCACCCTAAGGTCTTAACTCTCAAGGCCGACATGCGAACCCCGGACCCAAACCCCGCAACCTATGGGATGGGACGAAATCGTACATCCAAAGCCTCAAAGCCTAAGCCCCCGCGATCTTGTAGGAACTCCTTTCCAAGGCCTGGGACCGCTGTTCCAGGGAAAGCAGGGGCTCTGACAATCAGAATCGCCTGAGGGGGCCCTCCAAGCTTGAGAAGCTAGGCGCGAGCTCCGTCGGAGAAGGCGCCGGCGCAGGCACGGACTGAACGTCACTTACAGATTACCTTCGGTTGAGGTGTTGAAGGGTTTACGGTTGTCATGCATGCGGTTATTCTTTTCAGCGTCAGTGTCGACATTGAGTAGTGTTTCAAGCATAGCAGTAGTGGCACTGAAAGCTGCAGTGCAGGCTCCTCCACTCCCTGCCAGCAAAGGAGCCACGAAGCTGCATGTATGGGTATTGTGTGAAGTTTTGACGTGTGACGGAGGGTGCCTCAAAGCTACGGCATGTCAGTCTGAGGCATCAAAGGGAAGGAGAAAGCATGGAAAAGGCAGTGGGGTGGGGCACACCTACCCTAAACCCCACAAGACCTGCTTGCTTTTTGCATTCGTGTGGCACTATTTGGCCTCTTTGGGGCACGTGGGTGGCCCATGACTCTAGGCAAAGGTAAAGGCAAGCAGAAAGGCCTGGCACCAAGCATCAGTGCAGTGTTTGAAGCCCACAGCCGATGGTTGGCCTTGCGTCTGTGAAATCAGGAAAGCACAAGGACCAGCCCCCCTTCGTAAACCGTGGTCCTGTGCCTGCAGGACTGGGTGCAAAGAGGTCGGAAACCCTAAAGCCCGGCCAAGACAGGCTTGCACCTACTCCCTGCCATCCCAAAAAGCCATGGCAGACCCAAATCTCCTAGACACAGAGCTGATGCTAGCATGCGAGCTTCCCAGGACGTCAGCTGCGAATTTGGACGGTCACTCCGGCTGGTTGGGTTTGGCCTACGACTGCTGCGCATGCAATTGCTTCCTGTACCTTGTCGGCCAGGGCGTAATGCCTGTCAGGGGCACCGAGGCCAGTCTTTGCGCTGTTTGTGTTCCGTTGTGTGCCGTGCACCCAAGGGTACACAAGTGGAGGCAGTGTCACCGCAGAAGCTGATGGTGGCCAAGCCGAAGATGCGAAGCTTCACGAGGTCCGGGCACAATAAGCTTCGGCATCGCCAGTCATTCGACATGTGAGGCGATGCAATGGGACTGCGTAGCGACAGCATGGTAAGCATTGCTTTGCAGGCGAAAGCAGGTGGCGATCCCAGCTACAGCTTTCTGTCCTAGCTTTGCTGTCCTAAAATTTCACGCGTGAATGCCCCAGTGACTATCTGTACTGAGATGCTGCTGCCAGCAAGCTCGAAGGTCTGCGGTCCGTGTTTGGACTGCCTGCACATGCACGCGCTGGGTCGCGAGTCACCTGACGCTTGCACTTTGCAGGCTGCCTCCATGGCCGTCGTGAGAAGTGGTCTGCTCGAGAAAGCGGCGACATCCAAAGCCGCTGCTCGCGCTCCCAGGTTCATGCTGGTCCCCGCCAGGATCGTGGCAAAGCCAGGCCTGCTCGCGGCTGCGACGTCGAAGGCTGCGGGCGGGCTGGCCAAGGCCTACCCAAAAGGCCGGGGGCCCTACGATGCACGATGTCCGAAGCTTGCGTGCTTTCGATGTGCGTAAGTCTGCACGCAGTGTGAGCTTGCCTTGCTGAAGTGCGAGGCTTCTGACTTTTGTTGTCAACTTGATGCTCGTGAACAGCACTCGTTATGCATGAGACTCAGGCCTGGCAGCGGCGCAGCCAAAGGCCGGCTGCCTTTATTCGGAGACGCATTGTTGGCAGTGTTTTAGGGGGTGACTTTGCTGCTTCTGCTGCTTCTCCTCCTGAGGTGGCCGGTGCTGGGCGCCGTGTGCCAAAAAGCTTCTCGAAGGCCCACGATGTTCACCGTTGACGCCCGATGAGAAATGACCCATTGGCAAGGAACGCCCCAGACACCTTAGTTATCAAGGCTCGAAACTGGCCAGCTCATCGTTAGCATGGTTCTCAGGCGGCTGCTGCGACACGGTCTGGCTTGGCTCTAAGTTCTGGGCTAGCGGCCGATTTTGCCTGCTGCGTGTAGGCGTCCACCCGCGGAAAGTTGCCACCAAGGAAAGGTGACCTTCGCTGGCAAGGCCGCTTGGTTGCTGTCGGAGTCCTGAGCTCCCGAAATCCTCTGCAGAGAAGTCATGGAAGCAACAGAACCATCAGCAAGACCCTAAGACCTCACCAAAGACCCCTGTAGCCCCCAAAGCCACCCTCAAAAGCCCAACCTTTTTGCAGGCCTTCGCTCTACCTCCATGGAGAGGTGGGGCAAGAAAGGTTGCCGCTAAGGTCAAGGCGGGTTGGGGGGGGGGGACTTCATTGTCCTTGTCCATGGAAGGCATGTTTGGTGCATGGCAAATTTCCTGGGGAGTTGTAGGGGAGTTTCACAGAGAGACTGTGGCAGCTGCATTCTGATGTCTGGGAAAAGCAGATTGCGGATGGGTTTTCGGCTCAAGCAAAGGATGTAGGGTGTTTTTTTGCGTCTTTCGTGCAGCCTCTCGGCCAGTTGGCTCTGAGAAATGGTCTCTGACAGAAGTGTCTGGGTCTTGTGTAGAGCAAGTGTGCGCTTTCATTTTCATGGAGGAGAGCATTTCTGTACATGGATCTCTGAGTTGAGCTTTCATTTACATGCAGGAAACGCCCACCATGCTCGCCTTCAGACGCACTTCTAAAAACAAGCACTGGCATGCAACTGCATCAGGGCGCATGTGATCCAAGGTTGCCCAAGCTGCCCCAAGATGGGAGTCCTGCGGCTGCCGCAGCCCCTGATTCTGCTAGGAGGTCAGTTTTGCTGCTGCTGCTGTTGCTGCTGCGGCGTAGCACAGTATGCTAGGCAAGAGAGGCCTTAAGCCGAAGTCCTGTCGCATGCAGGCGTTTTGGTTTGACAGATGAGGGATCCCGCTGTTTTTGTTGTGTGCATGAAACCAGAGCATGGAGCGGAGATATCGCCGCTTGTCCGTGAGCTCTGTGCATTTTTGGTGAGAGCCTCGGATCTACAGTCCAGCTTGGAAGCCTTCATGATCGAGCAGTGCAAGGAATTCCGAGATGCCAACCTGGGCGGAGAGCAAAAGCTGCATTGGACGGACCTGCACAAGAGATACGTGGAGCTGGCCGAAGGGCAGCTGGATGAGTTCCTCCGCGAGCGGGAAGCCACCGCAGACGAGTTGGCACAAACCCTGCAGTCTTCACTTGGTAAGTCCATGTGGTCCCTGCCACTTCTTCAGAGCTTAGACTACCAAGCCTTCGCTGCGCAGATGATCGCTTTGGCACATGGCCCTCAGTTGAGAGCCGAGGCTGCTGCATCCTCGGGTCTCTTGGGTGGAGTCTGGAAGCCAGAGACTTCGGATCCAAGGAGCCTTGAGAAGTTCTTGAAAGCCCAGGGCGTGCCGTGGATTCTGCGGCGCCTCCATGTCTTCGCCACCGTGCGAGAGGTCTGCGTTGTGGAGATGCCCGGCACGGTGCCGATCTTCACGATTTGGGAATCTCGAAACCACGGCTTCGGCGTGTGCATGAGTCAGGTGATTGCTGACGGGGTTGAGCGCCATGACGGCTGCTTGAACACCAGGGCATGGTTGCAGGAGTCTGACTTACACGTGGCGCAAAGCCCCGATGGCATGTCTGGAGTAGAGACGGTATACGCAGTTCTCAATGATGGCAAGTCTCTGCAAATCCGCCGGGAGATGTGGGGGCCAGGCTGTGACAATGACAGCTGCGCTTTCGCGCAGCAGTTCGTCAAGCACGAGCCTGGTGTCGAAGATTCCAAGGAGAGCAGGAGGCAGAGCCCGAAGCAAGCAGCTTCCCAAGAGGCCTCGCCGGCTACTCCCAGCCCAGGCCTTGTCAGCCCGGAGGCTGCCATGCCTGCCATGCCTGCCATGCCTCAGGTCAAGTCTCTTGAGACATGCGGCCCATACGCGAAAGTTGCAGCTCCCTTGCTGCCCTCCGCGCCTCCTGGGACACCTTCCCGGCAGCCGCTTGCACGCAGGAGGTTGCAGAGACCGGCTCCTGCCACCTCGTCGTAAGATGACGAGCCGTGTTTTCCAGAAGGACTGAAATTCATGATGCCTAAAACTATAGAACACCATAGATAGTAGCGCGCGAGCTGAGAGCAAGACATCTGGGCCGTGCTCAAGCATGTGATGAGAGCGGTGTGAACACCACGTTAAGGGGCTATAGTAGAACACGGTTATGGCTGTATAATCCCGCACCTCCCCACTTTGCCCCGCTAATGACTAGTCAACGGACGAATCGTGAACTTTGCAAAAAGCAGCGATCTTCACCCTGCTTTTCAGGCTTGCAACTTGCAAAGCAGTTGTATGCAGATAGTCAGGACTCGCGCTGTAGAATCGCTGCAGCTGCGAGACCTGCGAATGTCCTAGAGCAGCACCGTCAGCAAGGCTGAGAGAGCTGGAAAACTTGATGGTGTCGCATCGTCATTCGTTGGCCGCTTCAGAGTCTTGTCTTGTCTGTTTCAGAAGGTTTCTTGCATGTCGGAGCCCAGTCACAGCTTGTCGATGCAAGAGCCATCCAAAAAAACCGCATCCAGGCTCGACGGCCGGGGAGCTTTGTGTGTGGTCCTCAGGCCTTCGTGCGGTCTGCCAGGGGAGGTCAGTCAACAGCCAGCACTGCATTCCTGTGGTGCTCGCTCTCTGCAGGTCAACCTTCATGGGCTCAAATGAGAAGGGACGTCGCACCGATCTGTGGAAACTCTCAAAGGGCGAGTTTTTCTCAGCATTCAGACAGGCAATGACCGTCACTATGTGGCATTGGTTTATGCAATGGCATGAAGCTTACGTGAGTAAGCTCGCCGGGTGTGCATGCACTTCGAGACGCTTCTTGGACCAGTTGATGTGGAACAAAAGGGGTGTGGCATTTCATGGACGTGTCAGTGCTTCTCTGCTTCTTCCTTCCTCTGTGGCCTGCGCATGTTGCGGAACACGTCCACGTCCTCTCTGGCATGTGCCAGGCCAAGCCAGGCGAGGAGGATGCGACAGCCCAGCCACGTGATAGCAGCACCTGCACACAAGAATGAGAGAATGCGCTTTTCACTGCCAAAATCTCCCAAAACCACTAAACCACCCACAGTCGGACTTAGAAGCCCCAAAAGAGCAGTCGTGAAGTAAATCTGCAGGACGACTACGACCCCTTCTCGGAGGAGCCCGCGCCCCACGTAGCCATGGAGAAGGCCCGGGATTTTAACGGAATGCTTAGAAAATGAGGATAAGAATCAGAAAGATACTGATCATAATAATAGTAATAGCAATAATGTGTTACGTGGTCTTACGGGGTTGATGGTGGCCGTGCTGCTTGTGTCTATGTGTAAGGAGTTTTTTGAGATCAACACAATCGCGCAGCAATGCAACTTGCCGTTTTGCTGCCGAAGCCCACCCCCCCCCCCCACCTGCTCGATCTTGAGGATGTTGTGGATGAGAGCTTCTGGATACAGACGGCATATTTTGAGCAAACCAAACTGCCTCCTTGAAACAGCTCTTAGCTCCCGCTGTCGCCAAGTATACGCTGAGTATATGCCCTGCCCCACGAGCTTACAATGGAGGAGTTTCGGAAAGCAGCGCGCCGTGCGGCCGGGCTCTCGGGTCGCATGCCATGGCATAGCATAGGGTTTCCGACAATAGGGGTACCCTTTTTGGGGGTCCCGTTTAGGGGGGATTCTAAACGGGGTACCCCCTATTTTTATGGGAAATACCCAGACAAGCGGGTGGTTTCAGGGTTCAGAGTCGCAAGAGCCCCGGCCAAACGATGAAGTGGGCCAGGTCCTTGCCTCAGGCTCTCTGAAAAAAGTGCTGGGAATGCAGGCAGCTGCTGCCGGCAAGCTGGATGCCGTGGAGTGGCGGCCACAGGCACTCCGCAGAAACGGCCATGTCAGGACTCCGGAGTTCCCTGAGCTGTGCAGTTCGATTTCCTGTGACCTCGTTCTGAACCTGGCACTCAGTGGGAAGTTGCTTGGGTGACATGCTGTCGATTTAGAGTCTCATGGCACCTTCATCGAACACTGCCTGCGAGTCATCCCCTAGCGACAGCACGCACAGTGTTTTTTCAAGCTCACGAAAGTAGAGCCCTGAACTACAGCGAACTGGTGAGACCGTTTTAAGGACCTTGTGACCGTGGGCTGAGCCATTGCAGCGCAGCGATGAGCAAGGCCAAGAAGGCCCCGAGACCCGCGAGCTCGAAGCCGGCCAGAGTCCTGCAGGTGCCGGGCTTGGCGCCGCGGGCCTCGGAGCCTTTGAAAGCGGAGCCTCCAAGTCCCAAGGTGACGGAGCCCAAGGATCCCCAGGCGGCAAAGCCGCAAAAGCGGAAGAAAGGCAAAGCCGGCAAGATGGGCCTTGCCACACAGCAGGTTGCCGAGGTTGCCGAGGCTGCCAAAGTTGCCAAAGATGCCGGGCCTGGAGGCAACGAGCCCGAATCCAAGAAGGGTGGCCCCGAGCGGCCGGCTCCGCGTGTCTTGCAAATTCCAGGCAAGGCCAACCGCGGATCGGAGAAGCGCCGCTTCATGTCTGACAAGGTCTCTAGCATCCGCTCGAAGCCGCAAGAGCCAAAGCGAAAGGCGCAGAAGGGCAAAAGCACTCCTGACATGGAGGATTCTGCAGAGTTCAAGCAAGCGCTGAAGGATGTGTTGAATTTCGTGATGCCGCAGCTCGGCAAATCGGAGCGGATCCAGTATGAGAAGGCCAAGATACGGGCTCTGGGTGGTACGCCGGACAAGCGCCAGTATGAACCCTACGCTGCTTTGCAGCGGCGGAGGAAGGCGGAGGATGCTGCTCGGCAGCGGAGGCTTGCTGAGGAGAAGCAGCTGGGCGTCTCGCTGTCCGCCACGCAGCAGCGCCGCGGCGTGGCGGCGGACGGGGCCACGCACCGCAAGAAGGAGGCACTCCAGGCCAAGAAGCGCCGAAAGGAGAACGACATACTTTCCGTTGGCGCGGAGAGCAGAGGTATGGTGATCATCCCCAAGAGCAAAGCCAAGACGTATGCCTAGGAGATTGTTCAGGAGAGGTCCGCCATGCCTTGTCGCCCAGATGCTCAGCGAAGTCAACGAACATGGAGTGCGTCCACATGGTTGAGACCGCGACTGGGAGGTCTATTATGGCCCGCGACGCATGGCAGCATCCAAGAACAGAACACGACGTGGCCAGCCAAGGAGAAAGGAGTGCTTCAAAGACAGCGGTGTGCAGTGGCATGTGCAGTAGCATGTGCTGACATGTGCTGAGAGTTGGGAGCTTTGCTGATCCTGTGCAGGGAGATCCCCTTTTGGGGGTGGTCAGGATGCCGCCGAAGCGCAAGGCCCATTCGAAAGCTTCAGCAATGTGGAGGCCCGTTGAACCCAGTCGACCTGCCTGGAGGGCAATGGCGTGGCACCTGCCCAAGCCAAGTTCCGTGCCGTGCCGCGCACGGCCATTGCCTGGCTGCGGCGGCCGGGGGCGCAGAGTCAAGGCTCCGCCATTGAATCGTCTTTGTCTGAATGCCTCAAGCATCTTTTGTTTTCGCAGGTGGCGCTCAAGCCGAGGACGTTGCCTCAGCAGACTTTCGCGGTTCTCATCCTTCCTATTCTTGCGGCTCGCTGCAAGCATGACTGGCATCTGCAGCACCCGTGCACTTGCGAGGAATACTTCCGCAAAGATGAGACCCAGCCTGCCAAGAAGCAGAAAGTAGATCCTGTTCAGAGAGGCACATCAAAGCTTCGAGCTTCGAGTGGCAGAGATGGTGTTGAGCTTATAATCTATGTTTGCGGCTCCCTCCAGGCTTCACGAAAGAGCTTCTTGAAAAGGCAGGCACCAAGCATCTGGAGCAGTTCAAGGGTGACATTCGTGTGATGGGGTCGCCCGCATGACGGTGGGTTGGGGGGCTTGGGGCCCAACAACTTGTCAGTTTTTGCTTTTCCATACTGCCAGACGCCGTCCACCCTGCAGACGCTGCCGGCTTAGTGGGTTGTTGCCAAGCGGTACTGCACATGTCGGGTACGATTCTCTCACTGCTAGACTCTCTCTCTCTCTCTCTCTTTGTCTATCTCTCTCTCTCTCTCTCTCTCTCTCTCTCTCCGTCTCTGCGAAACTCAGGGTCATCGCAAGGACTGCACGCAGAAAGGCAGAGAATCACCCATACCTTTCGCGAAGTGCAGAACGTGCTCTCGCGTTACACAATAAGCCTTGCCGGATTTGCGTAGGATGTATCGTGTCTGATGCCATCCACTTAGCCGAGGTGTCGAAGTCTGCTCGTATTTCTCGAGAAGAAATTGGAGGCTTACAGCGGGAGCGGGCGAGTGCAGATACCCGAGAGCTTGAGCTCGACACCCGACACCCACCCCAAATCCCCGCAACCCCTTCCCACACGCATGCCGCAAGAACCCTCAAGCAAAATTCTGTGGACTTCAGGCGGCCGGAGCTGAGCCGCCAGCAGTCACGGGGCCTGAGGCTTGCTTATCTTGCGGGCTTCGAGGGGCCTATGTTCTTCTTCTGAAGTCTGGAAGTCTTGTCATTTGAGCCCTAAACCCTAAACCCTAAAGTCCCTAAAGCCTGAGAAGTTGCTGTGAAAGCTGCTTTTGTCTACGTGGAGCTCACGCAGGCGCTCCGGCCCCGTCTCGCGACGCACGCGGAGAGCCTGGGTCGTCTGCTGGCTTGGACGGAGTGATTCTTTAGGCCCTTTAAAATTTTGAAGACACATTGGCTAAATATTGCTAAATGGTATAAGTCTGTAAAGCAAAAAAGAAGCTCCCAGGTCTGGAGACTTTGAGGGCGCCCACTGGCTGGGATGCGCGAGCCAAGCGTGTGCCCACTGAAGTGCAGGAATCAACTGCAAGCCAAGATGCACGAAGAGGAATGGTCAGGGATTTTGTTAGGGATTCCGTTAGGGAAGTCTTCTTTTGTGCAGCCAGGTGCTAGACATCGCCGCCATTGCTGCATCTGCTCCTGGAGAGGTCGGCAGCCAAAATTTCCTCGATCCTGGGGAACTTCATGGTCCAATCACTCTAAACCCTAAACACGAAACCCTAAACCCTAAACCCCAAACTCTAAACCCTAAACCCTACCCTAAACCCTGAACCCTGAACCCTAAAAGCTAAGCTAAGCCTTTCGGGGCCGACTCTAGCCCCCAACAGCCACTGCGCGACCTTGGCTAGGCGGCCCTGGGCGCACTGCAAGAGGCACTGCAGAAGGCAGCCGGGTTTGGGGTTTAGGGTTTAGGGTTAGGGTTTAGGGCTTCGGGCTTAGGGCTTAGGGCTTAGGGGGAAGAACAACCTCGGGCTTCCTAAGGCCCCAAGAGCCGAGGGCCCTCCAAAGTCCCCGAGGGAGTGGATGGTCGGATCAGGGGCTGTTTTGAGGGTTTCTGTCTTCAGGATTGCTGGTTTAGGCGGCTAAGCCCCTAAACCCCTAAACCCCTAAACCTCTAAACCCCTAAACCCCCTAAACCCCTAAACCCCTAAACCCCTAAACCCCTAAACCCCTAAACCCCTAAACCCCTAAACCCCTAAACCCCCAAACCCCCAAACCCCTAAACCCCTAAACCCCCAAACCCCCAAACCCCTAAACCCCTAAACCCTAAACCCCAAACCCTAAACCCAAAACCCTATACCCTATACCCTAAACCCCTAACCTAAACCCCCTAAACCCGAAACAGGAGTCCAAGGAGCTTCAGGAGGAGCTCAAGGACCGGACCAAGACAAGAAGCCCTGGAGGGTTTAGGGTTTAGGGTTTAGGGTTCAGGGTTTAGGGTTTAGGGCTTAGGGGTTTGGGGTTTTTAGGGTTTAGAGTTCAGTACTCCGGGTCGAGCAGTTTTACGGTTAAGTTTCATTTACGGCTCTGATATAACACCCACCCACCCAGAGAATCCCACAACATTGAGAAAGCAAAAAACAGCCAAATTCTGAAAATACAGTGGCCAAAGACTGAAAACGGCCTTATTCTGAAAATGCAGCGGCCTTATTCTGAAATTCAATTAGTCTTTAGCCTGATTTTGGCGTTTTTTTCTGAAACTGAAGCGGCCTTATTTTGAACATCAATAAATAGAGAGGGTTTAGGGTTTAGGGTTTAGGGTTTAGGGTTTAGGGTTTAGGGTTTAGGGTTTAGGGTTTAGGGTCCCCTAAGCTCTAAACCCTAAACCCCCCAAAACCCTCAACCCTAGAACCTTGAACCTTAAACCCCTAGAACAGTAAGGTCTAAGGTCCTGAACTTCCAAAGCACCCACAAGCCCTGGTCTCAAGATCGGTTTATGGAATTAAGGTTCCGCAACAAGTTTGAGCGGAGATTCTCTGCAGGAAACGTCAGAAACCCTGGAGAACTTGCTGATGGAGCGAAAGGCGTGGGCCAAGGACCTGCCAAGTGCTCTAGTCTCGAAAGGCTCCCTGCAAAGGCACCCCCCAAACATAGGTGCCGGTTGAACCCAGCCTCAACTTTGAACAAAGACGGCCATCGCTAAGAGCCGTGAACAATTGGCCCTACCTCTCCATACCCAGGCCCCCGAAAGCCCATCACCCCTGTGGAGGAGGCGGTGAGGAGAGATTGGCTTTCCTGGTGCGAAAGGCTACTCAAAGCCTGGCTCACAGAGACGCTGGGCCGTCCTAGTAAAATGGGGACTCTGCAGGGTCACAAGCTGCCGAGGCTCGTGAGGCGAAGCTGCTTGCCGAGCTTGGGGAGAAGGCCCCAGGGGATTGCAAAAAAAGCAAGAGGCCAAGAGAGGGGCTTCCGAAGTCAGGACGACGCCTCCGAGATCCTGAATACTGGTGTGGACATCCTCGAGGTGGGAACCTGCGGGAATCGCTTGGGAGTCCCTCTCTGGTCGCCTCGAAGATGCTGGGAAAAGACATAGAAAAGACATCACATCTTCAGGCCTTAGTGGCCGGCACCACCGCCTGATGCAGCCCGACGCTGCTGCAGCCGGATATTTGCGGAAAACACCGTCACGTGCCGTCCCGCTGAGACCCCGAGACCTTGCAGTCATGTGGTCAGTTCTCTAAATTATGGTCCCTTTTTGGGTACCATAAATCAGAGGGCCGCCTTCTAATCAGGGCCCCAAAAGGGACCATATTCTAGAGCCTATGTGTGCTTGTAGGCGACCTGCAGAGTTGCTAGACTTGCGCACCGCCTTGGCCTTTTGCAGCTTCCGTGGTATGCGCCTGCCCTGCACATGGGCCTATCAATTAGAAAGTGAGTGCCCATGACCATCTTGGAGCATACACCAACACCGACGCACCTAGTGTGAACCACACAGCTGGCCGGGTTGGTTCACAAAGCATGCTGAATACACAGACGCTCTCATTCAGGTCAGACAGCCGGTGGCTTAGGAACGCTGGCTTCATGTGTAGATTCAACTGATCAGTACACTTCGGCAGCAGCTATACAACAGGTCGACCCACTACCAACACTTCACATCCGCAGCTGCAACCCGCAAGCAAGTGTACAGGACATGTAACTAGGTAGAGGGTTTATGTCACAGTACAGGGCCAGTGACAAGCTGCACATGGGCGGACGCGATGGTCGAGAGCCCTACCTTTTGCAACGTGCTACTTGAACATGCGTGAACATGACTTGTCTTCCTTGAGCTGCAGCGGTCATGCATGATTCGACATGGCGTGCCTGGAAAGGCTTTCCCGCCAGGCAGAATTCGCCGTCGTCTCAGCGGCTGAGCCTGTGCAATTCCTGGTGTGAGACATATGGTCAGTTCCCAAAAGCAGGGTCCCTGTTTGGGAACCTTAAATAAGAGAGGCCGCCTTATAATGAGGACCCCAAAAGGTACCATATTTTAGAGAAGTGACCACATGAGCTGTCGTGTAGTGCAGCGGAAGCTAAGCCCTGCCGCCGGGCCTGGAGGACCTCGCCTCAGTCTTTAGACTCCTTTTGGACTCCTTGAAAAACTCCTTCGAGGTCGTTTTTGCGTTCTCTTGGCTGGGCCCCTCTCATGGCAGGCATCCGAAGGCCAAAGCCAAGGCAAAGGCAAAGGCAAAGGGAAGCAGTCGGAGGTGCGCCCCGAGGGCTGTGCCTTCTGCGCTTGCGCTCCCTATGCCTGTTTCCAGCTCAGGCTGTGGCGCAGCCGAGCAGTAAGTCTGCAGCAAGGAGGCTCTTGTTTCGTGTCAACCGTGACTTCCGCATGTCGGAGGGTATCGGGGAGGGCATAAATAAAATTCTGCAATGCCAAGTGATGGCGCTTTGCCGAGGCCTGCAGCGCCTGAAACGTCTGACTCAGGCGCCCTCCGCCCTCGGCCGTCGACTCGTCGACCTCTTTGCTCGTTGTGGTATAGTCGTGCATGTCCACCCTATGGCCGTCTGTACTCCCACAAGTACGGTGTCGACAGAAAGCCCATGCCAGATGAGACCGGAGACATCCGGAGTGTTTCCTCTGCCTTGTTTTATGTCTCCTAGTTCTTCTGTTCTTCCCTCTTGCTGTCTGAGACAACCATCTTGGAGATCTTGAACCTGAACTTTACTGGCAGTTGTGCTGATCTTCTGGACCAACTGCCCGGCAGGAGCAAAGAAACCCTAGATCACGTCGATCAACAAACCCCTTTAAACACAGAATAGTACGCATGACAGCACATGCCAGATCCGCGTCCCTTTACTGCATTTTGCCTACCAGAACGTGCGGTGGCCTGCGCATCAATGTTTGCACGATACGAGTACAAAAAACGTCCATGTTCCGTCATGTTGCCAGAGCATTCGAGCGAGCGACAGGAACATCCATGCTACTGGCGCAGCTAGTGACGCTCGTGCGATCAGAATGTGCATGTTGCCAGTGCATCCAGTGGCCAGAGCTCCAATGCCGCCGAACATCCACCAGTGGCTTGGGCATCCATGCCAGCCTGATAAGAACGTCCATGTTCCCAGTTTTTGCAGAGGCGTCCTCCGCGTCGCGAACACATTGACAGCTTTTGCCTTTGTTGGCTGCCAGGGGGAGCGTACCCCTAAGCAGCAACCCGGCAAGCTGCCAGTTCATCACGAAAGCTATAGCTGAGCGGTATGGGCCCCCAAATCGCGGCCAAGACGTGACCCTGGTTTTTCCAGCCAGATTGCAGGCTATGCCGGGCTTTTTTGAGGGGCTAATTGGTCTTGGTTTACGGTGCTTATAAGGTGCTGCTTTGGGCCAAGGTTCGGGGGCAATGATGCTCATGATGCTACCCTGGACCCGGGGCCCGGGAAGACTCCAGGACCCCAATCATGCTCATGATGCTACACTTTCCGGCCTTGGGGCCTTGGGCCCGAGGTCGGTAGGATTCCCATGCTCTCATGACCGTGCCCTTTTGCCTCTGCATTCTGTTGGGCCAGGGTTCGCTCGCCCCCCCCCCCCCCCCCCCAAAAAAAGCAGCCTGAAATAGCTTGCGTCCCCGTCCCTCATCCCCAAGTGGTACTGGCAGGTGACCGCTGGAGTTCGGATACTTGGTCTGGAGGCACACGGCAACCCGTCAAGCTGCCAATCAATGACAGTTCATAATACTGGTAGGCGACCGCTGGGCTTCAGATCCTTGGGACGCTGGAGGCGCGTGAAGCCGTCTAGCGAGATGGGATCCTTGGGCCATGGATAGGAAGGTTAGAAGGGTTCAGCATAGTCTGGGTTTAAAGGTGAGGCCTGTGGGGGTCTCGACATCTCAGGTGACCCTTGGTCCAAGCAGAGTGACCAAGGACGAGGAGTGCGCTTTGAACGCTCTTGTGTTTCGCGGTTGAAGTGTTGGATTGTTGTTCTGCAGATTTTTCCTGTGTTTGTTGGATGGCTCGAGCAATGGGCGCCGTGTGATATATCATAGATTCTGATAGCCGCTTTTGTATAGTATCCCAAGCAAGTTTTTGAACATGTGCCCGGCAGCAGAACTGAGAAGACTACTTCATCCCCTTCACTCCCTCCCGCCCCCACCCCCACCCCCTCCCCACCCCCCCCGCCCCCGCGGCCCCCATCCGCCTCCCCCGCCATGCCCACCCCCCCCCACTTAAAAAAAGTGAGTAAATTTGGGGGCGATCCGGCCAAGTTTTTCTTGCAGCAGAAGAGGTCTTGTCTTCATGGAAGCAATCAGTACAATCAAGTCGCAGTCCGCAGTCCGATTCTTGCCAGTAGGTGAGTTTTCGAAGTCCGAGTCAAGAGAATCCTGTCGTTGTTGCAAAGCTCGTCTGGAGGCAGCTACACCGGTGCCGATCCATGGGATGCAGGCTCATCTCGAGATGCAGAAACACCCACCCCCTGCTTGAACTGTGTGCACGACGGCTCGGAGAATAGCAAGTGTTAAGATAACGCCCCAGAAAAGCTCCCCCCACCACCCCGGAACCTGATACATCTCCATCCTTTCCCCCAAGCCCCGTGAGCCCCAGAACCCCAATATTCTAAATTCCAAACCCCCCAAACTAAACCCACCACACCCCGCCCCGAGCGAAGGTGACCCGTGGAGCAGTTCTCAAGGAGCCCTTCATTTCTGACACGTACGAACTGGAATGATGCTGAGAATGGTTCTGCTCATGATGATAATGGTCGTGGGATTGATGATCAGGGATAGTCATCATGACAGCAGTCATGATGACTATGACAGCAGTCATCATCATGATGATCCAATGGTTTCTGAAGGCTGTGCTTGGGTTAAGCCCCTTTTATGGAGGGCTCAGGGTTTCGGGGCTTCGGGGCATCGGCACGCGGTTTAGGGCCTAGGGCTGTGTGCGCCAGGAGACGGCTACATCAAGTCGCACAGCAGAAGCCAGAACGGCTCCAGGAGCCCATCCCGGGTCGCCTTCTCACATGGTTTAGGCTTTAAGGTTTAGGGTTTAGGGTGTAGGGTTTAGGGTTGAGGGTTGAGGGTTTAGGGGTTTCCCCCCGCCCACCCCCCTCACCCACATGGTGAGCCTCTAAGGCCTCAAACCCCGAACCCCTGAACCCACAACCCAAACCAAAGCAAACTAAATAGCCCTAAACCCTAAACCCCCAAACCCCGAACTCCCAAACCCGAAGCCCTCAATTCTAAACCCCCCCCAAGCCTAACTCTCCTACGACTGGAGGATGTTGAACTCGGCCATGCGGCAGATACAGCAGCAGCCGGCTCCAGTACCAGCAGCAGGTCCCTCATCCCATGCGGGGGTTTAGGGGTTAGGGTTTGGGGCTTAGGGTTTAGGGGTTAGGGTTTGGGGTTTGGGGGTTTGGGGGCTTGGGGGTTTTACTGTGCAAAGCCCCCTTTTCAGGTCCACCTCAGGGGCTACTTGGAGGGACTGAGGGCTTGGGTACTTGGGCACGTAGAACTCCACTCATGACTGTTTAGGGTTTGAAGTTTAGGTTTAGGGTTAGGGTTTCGGGTACAAAGTGACCCCAATTCTAGCTGCACTTATAAGCCTCCCTAAGTTCTAAATAGGTTATCAGTAAACTTATGATTAGGGCTATAAGTGCCCATGACCTCCGAGTAGCCCTCGGTGGGACTCAGGGTTTAGGCTGGGAGTCTGGCTTTAGGGTTCCAGGGTTTGTTTCTTGTTTGTTTTTTTTTTTTTTTTGGGGGGGGGGGGGGGGGGGCTTTGGGGCTTCAACGGGTTTAGGGTTTCAGTCGGCTGCTTCTTCGGGGGAGCCTTGGGATGGTGGCCTACAGGCTGGAGGCTCTAAACTGGGCAGCTGTTCAGGGATTGAGGGATTAGAAGCTACCCTGTAAGTACTGTTAAGGCAGCTGAATGTAGGCTCCTTAGTGGAAGCTCAGGAAAGGTGCTGGGGCTGTTGATGGACTGAAAACGGTTACGAGTGAATTGTCAGTCATTCAACTTGCCACCGCCTTTTTCCAAAGCCGGCAGTTGAGGTTCTTGTTAGCGTTTTTTGGATGTTTATCTGGCTCTCTCTCGCTTTCTTTAAGTCTGACGACTTGTTGACGCTGCATGGGGCATTGTCCAGCACAGACAAAGAATCTTAGAAGAAGCTGGAAGACCAGTGGGAACCCCCAACCTCCAACGCTTATTTTCCCAACCAGCCCATGTGACTCATCCTGGAGGCAACGGCAAAGCCGAGAAGCAGGAGCCTCCTCCTGGGTGGACTCCTCAGTGTGAGAGTGCTGTGGAGTCCGAGGTCTTGGCTGTCATGAAATCGGCACGTACGCCAGCAAATTTTTCATGTGTACGGCAGGGCAGCGACGGACACCCTGGTGCTAAAAACACAAACAGATACAGGGTCAGTCTATGCCAAGACGTGGCAAGAGTCGACACAACGACATCTGCAAGGAAAGGGGGAAAGGTGCACCAAGACCAACCTTCCACAAAAGATCCACAAGGTAAACCCTGCTTCAGTCCAGCTGCTCAAACTTACCCTTGTCTGAGTCTGGCCCATCAGCTGCTGTGTCACTCTGCAGGAAAGAGGACAACAGGCTGGAGGGTGAAGCCACGGCAAAGATTGTCGTTCAGCTCGAGGACAGCCTTGGTCACTGTTTCTTTGTGACTTGCCTTCGCGTTTGACAACTTGAGGATGGCTCCACAGATGCTTCGCCAGTGACCTGCTGGGATGACTTCAAGCTGTCGAAGGAACCCCGACTTGTGAGCATCAGCCAGCTCGAGCCAACTCGAGCCCAACTCTTTCGTTGACTTAGCAGGAGATCATGGACGGGATCTTTGAGATGGGCTTCACCAAGCCATCGAAGATACAGGGCCTCGCCTTGCCGATTGCCATGCAGGGTCGCAACATCATTGGCCAGGCGGGCGTGCGCGGGCGGGGGGCAGTTGCACCAAGGGACAAGCCTGTGGGTGCCCTTGCGGCAGGCCCGGAATGGCAGCGGCAAGACCGCAGCGTTCGCCTTGGCCGTGGGCCTGCCTCGTTTCAACATGGCATGGCAGGTTGCGGCGATTCGGCCGAAGTCGGTGCCGCACCCCCCCCCCCCCGTGCCAGATGCTGGCCAACGTCGAGACCCAGAAAAAGTCGCCGCAGGGCCTCTGCGTCTGCCCGACGTCCGGCGCCCACGGTTGACGGTTGAGGGCTCGAGGGTTGGGACATTTTGGGACATCGCAGGTTTTCTAGGGGTGGAGGGGAAGAGCCTTCTGGGGCGCAGGCGGGAGCTGACGATGCAGAACCATGCCGTCGTCGGGAGCCTGGAGCCTGAGCCTCCCTCCACATGTGACCCCACTTGACCTCAGCTCAGATCCAGCGGCTGGGCAAGTTCACAGGCTTTGGCCCTAGAGCCTCACCTGCTTTGTAGAACGTCCTTTTGGCATGCCTGGAAGACCGAGAGGTCTGGAGTTCTTCCTGGCCGTCCCACAGGAGCAGCGCGCTCCGCGCAGCGTCTCCGCCACAGAGTTGTAAGCCAAAGCCAGAGACCCTTTCTAGTTGTGGTCATGCATGGGATGTGGTCACCTTTCCAGCGTATGGCTCTTAAGCATGACATGAAGTTGTTGGCACGCGATTGCAGCTTCACGTTGGCACGGCGGTAAGGGCCCTTGTCGAGTGATGCTTTGCATTTGTCTACAAAGAAGCAGCTAGGACTTTAAGACTTCTTGCAAGAAACTTTAAGAGGGGTGCTCGGTACGAGCTTCCTTTCCGCTCTCACGACGATGGTGGCGGAACATCCGGAGATGACGCCGTGGACGGTCTGGGCTCTAAGAGGTGCTGATGCTGGGCAGTTGCTCAACAGCCGACAGGCATCACCAAACAGCTCCTCGAGCCGGAATAGGCCTCAGAAGGCTCTCAACATCGACAATAGCCACATTGGCAGGCAGGTGCAAGAACTCCGAGAGAAGCTCTCTGCAAGCCGGGTCTCCTTGCAAGCTCAGGAGGCACAAGCCCACAGGGCAAGCTTGCGGCGTGCCCGATCCAAGAGCAACAGTGCTCAGGTCGGACACTGCGGCATGCATGGCATGCAAAGAAACCTGCACGAAAGCCCCGTGGCCTCGCCTTCCAACGGAAAGGTCACGGTCACCTCTCCCTCCGAGACAAAGCGATCTACGGCCGCATCGTCTGAGCGACTGTCTCCACGATACGAAGGGCAGCCGATGACGGAAGGCATTGCAGTGTGGCGCGAAACCCAGGCATTGAACGAAAACCTTGGAGCCTCAGCCGGAGCGCACGCCCATCGGCCTCTGAGATCCGTGCCTGCCCACGCGCGTGGGACGATGGCCAGCCCAACACGGCAACGTCCAACGACGCTGGCCGAGGGCTTGGAGCCCACGACACAGCCTTTGGCAGCAGCTCAGCCAATGCCACCCTGGGCCAGCACGTTCGGATTGCATGGAATGCACCCGGGCCCTCTCAACGGTCTGCCTGGCAGCCCCCAATCCTCTTACCAGATTCCCCCTTTTGCGGAAGCGGCCATGAGTCGTCTCACATGGCTGCAGGCAGAAAAGGAGGCTCTGGAGGGCTGGCTCAGCAATGCAGGTTACCTGTCGGTCAGCAACGACAGCGACGACAGGGCTCGCAGTTCAGAGCATGTCAGCTACGGTGCTCAGGAGCCAACAGTTCGACATCATGACCCGGAAGGGACAGAGGTGTCCGGACGGTTGCAGGGAGAACAGCTGCAATCGGCGAGAGCTTCTGAAGAACCACAGGGCCACCTGCCCCTGCAACTGGCTGAGCCAGAGAGACGGGCCAACGATCGGCCCCTGCACCATGGCTACGCTACAGGGCACACGCCAACCTCATCTGTGGAGGATGGAGCCCCAAGCACGCCAAGCAGTGCGAGGAGGAAGTCATTCATGCATCAGACCAGCTACAACACCCTGACCGCTGAGCGAGCAGCTGCGCAGGCGAAGCTCGAGGATGATATCAAGGCCATAGGCCTCGAGAGGTGGAGCGACCCACCAAGCCCAGCAAGCGAGAGCAAGGGCAAGATTGCCACGTCCGCGAATGAGCATCTCCGAAGCCATGCTGCCACGGCGTCCTTCGGCGTGCCAAGGAACAGCGCACCGGCCAGCGCCCTCGCGTCGCTTCGCGCCGCCGCACTTGGGCAACCCGGGCAAGCCCACCAGGCAGAGTCCTTTCCAGAGGGAGTCCCGGAGCTTGGCTTTTGGAGAGCTTGTGTAGAACACGCGCAGACTGCTAGACAAACTGGTGGACAGGGGTGTGTCGATGATGTGCTTTGGAGTTGGCTTGTGAGACGTTGTCCATGACATGCACAGGCCTCATGGAGTGCCGCGGACAGCACGGCGCATGCCTGGGTTTGCGTATTGGTGCACGTGACTGCGGTACATAGGCGGCGAGAGCCCGCAGCTCCTTCAGCTAAGTCCAAAGCAGTCCCAGGTGCAGCTGCAGTACGAGCCCAGGCAAGTCACCCCCACCTTTCGCATGCTGCACACATCTAGAAACTCCTCCTTTCCTCTGCTGCTTCTCTGCGCACATCCTTTCTTGTAGCTTAGCGTGTGCCCTCAAAGCCTTTGACGACTCGCCTTGGGGATTGAGGTTTCAAGCCTCGAAAGCTTGAAGTTTTATCTCCGTGACAATCTTGGCAACCCTGGCAGGGTCACGGCTGGGGCAGCCAGGCATCAGGACCGACACGATTGCAGTAGGATCCCCCTATATACAACATGAAGTAAGATCGCTCTTGGAAGGAACGCCAGAAACGGGACTCCGAAACCACTGCACACTGTAGTCTGCTACAATCGTTAGAAGAATGCTGTCTGGTTTTGCTTGAATGAGACTAGCGCAGCTTGACTCCAGCGCTGTGCTTGTGACCAGATTGCTTTCCCACCACGATTCTGACGACCGCTCCTTGCAGATGTGTGCAGGAATTCATTCCCTTCAAATTCAGGACACTATCTCAGAGTCTCCGACTGGACGTTCCCACTCGGCAGCTTCAGCCAGGGTGGCGACGCAACAGGCCAGTGAGGCTGGGTCATGTAAAAACTGGTGTGGGTCTGGCAATGCATGGACATGCAAACACAATTTGTTCCTTTGCATGGCATGCAGTGAAAGTGGTGCTGTCTGGAGTGGCTTCGAGGCAATCGCTCCCCGAGGTGGCTTCAGGCTGGCTCATGCTGCTCTCATGCTTCCAGTAAGGTTCGTGTCGTGGTCAACGTTCTTGCAAGGTCCTCGCTTCCCTTGCCTACGCCTGACATGGGTGTGCGATCGGAAGCCTTGAGCTCTGACGCAGCTCGGCCGAACAGAACTGGTGCGGAGTCGGTGGTGTGCACGTGTGGAGTTGTGCGAGTTCCACATGCAGTGCCCGAAGTGTCGTGCAAAACCCAGGCCTTCAGGCGGCGCACCGAGGCACCGAACATGCCATGCAGACATGACAGAAGCCTTTTGCGTCCTTTTGCAGTTGGGGCTTCAGGGTGTTGTTTTAGGCGGGACACATATGTGGGTTGGAGGCTTCACCTGTGTGGGCCTGCCCTCCCAACTTCCACAGCGCTGGCACCCATGTTGTTGAGGCATCGCCTCCGCGCGAAGCTGCTGCCTCAGGAACAACAGGAATAGACTTGGGGGAGGCATCACAGCTGCGACTCACACAGCCAGGCAGTCACCTTCGAGCAGGGTGCCCCGAGGCTCCACGACGCTGATTGAGCACATTGTGAAATTTGTGTTTTGTCGTCCCTTGTTCACTTCAAGACGTTTTACAGATGTTGACATTTTGCCACGTGCTGGGAAGGGGTCCTGTACATCCTGGGTCCAGGTCGGGCCGTTCCCACTCGGCAGCTTCGGCGAGGGTGGCGACGCAACAGCTCGGTGAGGCTGGGCCATGCAAGATTTGGTATGGCAAAGTATGGCAAGGTATGGCAGAGTATGGCAGAGTATGGCAGAGTATGGCAGAGTATGGCAATGCACGGACACGCAAACACATCGCAAACACAAATGTGTTCATTTGCATGGCATGCAGTGAAAGTGGTGCTGTCTGGAGTGGCTTAGAGGCAATCGCTCCCCGAGGTGGCTTCAGGCTGGCTCATGCTAGCGCAGCATGCTTCCAGTAAGGTTCGTGTCGTGGTCAACGTTCTTGCAAGGTCCTCGCTTCCCTTGCCTACGCCTGACATGGGTGTGCGATCGGAAGCCTTGAGCTCTGACGCAGCTCGGCCGAACAGAACTGGTGTGGAGTCGGTGGTGTGCACGTGTGGAGTTGTGCGAGTTCCACATGCAGTGCCCGAAGTGTCGTGCAAAACCCAGGCCTTCAGGCGGCGCACCGAGGCACCGAACATGCCATGCAGACATGACAGAAGCCTTTTGCGTCCTTTTGCAGTTGGGGCTTCAGGGTGTTGTTTTAGGCGGGACACATGTGTGGGTTGGAGGCTTCACCTGTGTGGGCCTGCCCTCCCAACTTCCACAGCGCTGGCACCCATGTTGTTGAGGCATCGCCTCCGCGCGAAGCTGCTGCCTCAGGAACAACAGAATAGACTTGGGGGAGGCATCACAGCTGCGACTCACACAGCCAGGCAGTCACCTTCGAGCAGGGTGCCCCGAGGCTCCACGACGCTGATTGAGCACATTGTGAAATTTGTGTTTTGTCGTCCCTTGTTCACTTCAAGACGTTTTACAGATGTTGACATTTTGCCACGTGCTGGGAAGGGGTCCTGTACATCCTGGGTCCAGGTCGGGCCGTTCCCACTCGGCAGCTTCGGCGAGGGTGGCGACGCAACAGCTCGGTGAGGCATTTGTTCATTTGCATGGCATGCAGTGAAAGTGGTGCTGTCTGGAGTGGCTTAGAGGCAATCGCTCCCCGAGGTGGCTTCAGGCTGGCTCATGCTACTCTCATGCTTCCAGTAAGGTTCGTGTCGTGGTCAACGTTCTTGCAAGGTCCTCGCTTCCCTTGCCTACGCCTGACATGGGTGTGCGATCGGAAGCCTTGAGCTCTGACGCAGCTCGGCCGAACAGAACTGGTGTGGAGTCGGTGGTGTGCACGTGTGGAGTTGTGCGAGTTCCACATGCAGTGCCCGAAGTGTCGTGCAAAACCCAGGCCTTCAGGCGGCGCACCGAGGCACCGAACATGCCATGCAGACATGACAGAAGCTTTTTGCGTCCTTTTGCAGTTGGGGCTTCAGGGTGTTGTTTTAGGCGGGACACATGTGTGGGTTGGAGGCTTCACCTGTGTGGGCCTGCCCTCCCAACTTCCACAGCGCTGGCACCCATGTTGTTGAGGCATCGCCTCCGCGCGAAGCTGCTGCCTCAGGAACAACAGGAATAGACTTGGGGGAGGCATCACAGCTGCGACTCACACAGCCAGGCAGTCACCTTCGAGCAAGGTGCCCCGAGGCTCCACGGCGCTGATTGAGCACATTGTGAAATTTGTGTTTTGTCTTCCCTTGTTCACTTCAAGACGTTTTACAGATGTTGACATTTTGCCACGTGCTGGGAAGGGGTCCTGT